GCCCTGGGTAGAATGCAGTACCTCAGGAATGCACTTATGCACCTAGGAATGTCCTGCGTTTTGTGCGCTGTAGGACGCCGTATACATGCCAACAATGGGACTACAAATAAGCTAGGCTAGCTTCATGGTTTAAAAAAATATGGTGGAAAATGAAGTAAGCTCTTTCATATCTTTCAGTTATAATTGAGTTTCAACTATTTTGTCTTTTACCAATGGACTTTTTTCACGCCTGAACTAACCCCTTAGTTTGAAAACAAACACAATGCCGAAATAGCTAAAATGCGTGTTTTATACATACCCTGATTCTACTCTGCTGTTATCCCAGGGAGTGTGTGTGAGTAAATGCGTCTGGTGCTACTGTATCAGTGACGTGCGGTAAGGTCGATGACTGGGTAAGCACTGGCGTTTATCAAAGGCAGTTTTACTCACAAATAAACCTTGATGAAGCTTGACGTTCACCATAAAACAGATAGCGCCAACAACCAGAGTGGTTTTGGCTATTAACTGAAATTGACAATTTTTTTTAAATACATGTAAATACCAATGTAGCAAATATACACAAGCAATGACCTCCGATGGAGGCATATTTCAATTTCATCCGACAAAATGACACACTGCTGAACAGCTCAGCCATACACCGATGTAGCTTACACAGTTACAACTGATAGGAAGCACTAAAATACCAATATATGGACACATTTCATCCGAATAATGCAAAGCCTTTCACAATGGATTTACAATTCTTCCAATGATCATGGCTATCCCATGCCACTAGTGTGAAGTGAAGTGGCTGGCTAGCTAATTAGATGCATGGCTTTCAGATCACAGACATCATAAATATAACATAATGTCCAGGATACATATAGTTATAGCTAGTTACAACTAAATAGCTAAGCGAAATTTTATATTTAAATGAAACAAACCAATGCGTGGCGTAGTCAGCTAGCTAGCTGCTAACGTCGTCTGAAAACAACAATCAAAACAAGTATTTCATAGTAGCTATAACACTCGCATACATATTTACAACTAAATAGCAAACGCGACATATCACTTAAATATCTAGCAAGATATATAAGCTATGTCTTACCTTTTCAGCAGGTCGGTTTTGAATCCCTAAGCTTAGCTAGCTAGCAAGCTCTCTCCACTTTGTGAATGCAAATACGAGGTTCACACTCGACACTGACACAAAAAGTAATTCCCATTCCTTACATCCACAAAGCAAAAGTAAATGTCCAAGATGTGTAAAAGTCTGGGTAAAAAGTATTAACTGGTAATGACATTTCAGACAAGTGGACAGTCTACTACTCACTCTGTTCGCCTGAAAGGCATGAATACCCTGATGCCTTTCCTGAGGTTTTGATGCAGTTTTAGCAAATTGTGTGATTCGTTTTTTTTTAAACCACCAGAATCATTAAGAAAAAAATTGAAATAACCAAAAAGATTTAATAAAACAATTGCTTTGGCTTTTCATAACAGCTTTTTCTATTAGATTATCACAGGGTAAGCACTGTCTACCCTTAGTGCACGTCATGGGGTGCTATGCTATGGCAGGGCTGGCGTTCTCACAGGGTAATGCGATACCACTTTGACTAAACTACTGCAAGGAACTCTAGAGCATCCAAGGTCAGTCGCTGTGTCTTTTTTCTCCACTCTTGTCTTTTTATCTGTCCCATTTCTCTGTCTCTCTCTTCCCCCACTCTCTATCGCTTTATCGCTCTCTCCCTCTATCCCTCTATCTCTCTCTCTTTCTCTCTCTTCCTCCCCCTCTTCCTCCCCCCTCCCATATTTTTCCCATCTCTCTGTCTAACCTGTTTGGCACTATCATCTCCCACAACATGTTCTGGTTCTCATGACATCATCGCAAAGACCAAAGAACAGGAATCAGGGTGAGATGTGATGACATGTGTACATAAAATACACCACCCACTATGCACAGACGTCAATTCAATGTCTATTCCACGTTGGTTCATTGAAATGACGTGGAAACACCGTTGACTCAACTAGTGTGTGCCCAGTGGGCAGGCTTCACTGTGTATGAAGGAAAGGGTAGAGACTAAACCTTTATCAACACAATTAGAGTTTTTACATTATTATCCATCCCATCCTTATCACTGCACATTTGAATTATATAAATAAAACCAATGACGTACAACCTGGGGTAATTTTATTGTGCTGTTTCTGGAGAGAGAGGGAAAACAACGTTGTTAGTAGGAGCAGAGCAGTGTTTGTGTCGGGATAAAACAGAAACGGACAGGGTTAGCTCAAAGCAAGTTAACAACTCACGGTTCATACTAACTGTCACGACTTCCTCCGAAGCTGCCTCCTCTCCTTGTTCGGGCAGGTTTCGGCGTTCGTCATCACCTGCCTTCTAACCACTGCCGATCCTCATTTCATCATTCCATTTGTTTTGTCTTGTTTTTTACACACACCTGGTTCATATCCCCTCATCAGTCCCTGTATAAATATTCCCTCTGCCCCCCATGTCTTTGTGTGTGATTGTTTCCATGTGGAGGTGTCGATAGCTCGGTGGAGCTTTATGTATTGTATCGCCGGGATATTCACCCGTGTGTTTTGTTTTCCCCCAGTGCGCTGTGTTACCGCACTGTAGTTGTTTTACGCATTGTTGCGAACCGCTGTATTGGCTGAATAAACCATTTATTCTGTGATTTACACCTCCTGCGCATGACTCCGTCTAAATCACCCGCTACACTAACACAGACATTATATGATGATTCTGGAATTATCAGATGATAATCTGGAGGAATTATGAATTGAACCCATATTATAATTCAAAAAATGATTTCTCTCTATCAGTGTCAGGCTACGAAGGTTTATTTTAGGGGGACGTTTAGAATGGGACGACTTTGTCTTCGCTAAATAAACACTGTGACAATGGCCTTTTAAGAAGCCACATGCGAACAACAGTTTAATTAAATGGAAAGCTCAGTCAGTTGTGAAAAAGCGTGGTCGTCGCCTGTCTAAATAAAATGCTTATTTTTACATCAAGCATTTAGGTTTGTTAGAACAACAATAGCTGCTCATATTTTCATAGTTGTGGTATTCCTAGCCCTTCTAGGGAGTGTTCACTTCACCCCCTTTGAGTGTCTTCACACAGAAGCACTTTAACAGCTAAAAGGTCAGGTTATGGACGCCTTTCGCTAATTTCCAACATCAATCAAGGAGAGTCTGGGTCCATTTTCTCATTTTCAGAGAGAGAGTGAAAACCCCCAGAGAATGAGTTAGAAAAATTGTAGTGTAGCTTTGCCAGAGTTCCACACACCCAAACTCACGACAGATGTTTCTAAAATACCACAGTAACAACAACACAGATGGAGTCTGGGAAATACCCTCTGAGTTTCTTGCTGCTCAGGGAATTAGAATAACAAATGTAGTCTACTGTGACTTTTAGTAGTGCCATTGAATAACCTATTCCCCTACTGAAACAGTAGAAGCATAAAAAAATAGTGTATGAGTGTACACTGTCTTACTCTGTGTGTGTGTAGACGTATTCTAGCGCTCTTTACCATGCTCTCGCTCCCTCGCTCTCTCCGTCTCCCTCTCTCCCTCTTGCAAGTATGACAGAGTAAGGGAGGAGTGTGTGTGTGTGTGTGTGTGTGTGTGTGTGTGTGTGTGTGTGTCTGCATGGGAAGTGGAACGGGAAAGAAAGTGCTGTTGGAACAGTGCCTAGGAGCTGAACATAGTGAAGCGGAGACGAAAGTAGGGAGGTGTGTAGAGGAGATGAAGAAAGAGGGAGGGAGCAGTCTAGAACAGAGGAGTAAAGGAGAGGAAGACCGAGTGGAGCAGAGGGGAGAGGAAGAGGGGGAGTAAAGAGGAGATGAGAGCGTCAGTCTGATTGAGGAACAGGTGAGAGGAGTTGAGATTACAGGAGATGGGTGGAGCATAAAAAAGGTGCAAAGTGGTGGAAAGGGGGAGGAGTGGAGAGAGATGAGAGAGAGGTGGAGAGGAGAGAGAATGGAGGAGAAAAGAGGAGAGAGGGTGTTAAGAGTGTTGCGTTCACACCTGACTCACCCAACGGAAGAGAGGAGAGCAGGAGACAGATGACCAGAGATAAGGCAATCACAGTGAGACGGTTGACTTAACACACCCACCAACGCACACACCACACACACACACCACACACACACACCACACACACCACACACACCACACACACACACCACACACACCACACACACACACCACACACACCACACACACACACCACACACACCACACACACCACACACACACCACACACACCACACATACACATAAAGAGACCAACTCAGATACATGCACAAACACTTGTAAATCTGTTCAGGCACATGTACAAGCAAACACACACACAAACACAGACCTTCACTTTTCTCAGAGAACACTGTTCGCCAGCTCCAGATGAAGAGGAATGCTTTCAGGAGGACGAGAGGTGACCAGGATACACACACTGGACTTAGACCTGCAACCTCTCACTAACAGGCGTGTAAACAAACACACACACACCGTCAGAGCAAGACCAGGAGGACAGAAGCTGGACTGCACTCTACATACTGCTGTGACAAGAGATGGACACGCTCTCTTCACACAGCCAAGGACTTCTGTTTGGAGCCACATAACAACCTGTCACTTGGAGCAACACACTGTCTCTCATCTGATCTGAGCCAGAACGGAACCCAGCACCTGGAACCTGGAACATTGACTCTCCAGCACATGCTTTGGGCTTTGACCACCTTCATCCAGGAGGATTACACACGGACATAGACCCAGATCTAACCTCTGACCTCTCACCTGTAACCTGTGGCTGGCGGTGTGACTACTGTGGAGCAGCACCTAGTCTCTTTCTCTGTTCTCTCTGGTCTCGCTCCTTACATGGTCTCTTTCTTTAGTCTCACTGTCTAGTTTATTATCTTGGTCTCTCTTTTCTGTCTTTTAAGACTTCTTTGGTCTCTCCATCTTCTTGTTCTCTCCCCTGTCTCTTCCCAGCCACTGTCTCTCTGCTCCAGTCTTTCTCTCTCGTCTCTCTTCTGTCTCTCCCCTCCATCTCTCTCTCTGTCTCCTCACATCATCCCACTATGATGCTGAGGAGAGACCGTCTGCTCCTGTCTGTGACCGTCACAGCCATCTTCACTGCTGATCTCTACTTCGTCCTGCTCCCCAAGCTCCGCCACAGACAACCAGGACCAGAGGATGGAGGCTGCCTCTGTCCCTCCTCCAGGGGGACTAACTTCACCCTTGCTGGGTACAGCAGCCTCAACACCCCCTGGGCCTCCAACACCACCTCCATGGACCTCCAGGGGATGGGGGTCAGAGCTACGGACAACCCTACAGATTGGGTCTCGAAGCTGGGGAGGCTGTTTGCTCACCCCCTGTATAACATCCAGACACCGGAGCTGGGGCTGGAAGAGAGGCTGTTACAGTCTGAAGAGGTAATGGGGTATTACAGGAGGAAGGTCTCGCGCTGGGAGAGGTGAGTACAGTACACACAGCCCTGAGTTTAGAGATTTCTCAATGTTTTGTTATGGTTGTGATTTACTTTAGGTGTGACTAGAAATGTTAGGAGACACACGTATTTTCCTGCTGTGGCTTCGATGTGGTGGAGGGGTAGGGTCCCTGACATTACGGCTGTGGATCCCTGACATGCATAAACACACCATTCTCTTTCTCCCTCTTTCTCTTATTCTCTCTCTCTCTCACACGCACAGATACTCAAGCATAAGCATGTCGACACAAAATGTTTTCTCTTAGGCAAGCTATTTTCCCGTAAAGACTAACCCCATAAACTGTCTTCAAAGTCGGTGTTATAAACAGCATTTAATAGTGGGCTGGAACCAATACTCAAACATCATTTGAGAGCCTGTGTCTGGATCTCCCTGTGCTAGGTAAACAAGACCCTTAAACCTGACGAAATCCTTTAAACCTGTGAGAGCTGAACAGACTGTAGCTGTCTTGGCTCCTGTCTAACGCTGTCCATCACAGCCCAGCGCATTCCCCTCAGAGAGATCCTGTTTGGGTTCCAATGGTGGAAAAACAGAAGAAATATGACGAGAGGATATTTCTACCCCCTTGGCTTACTTCTAAATGTGCACATAACAATAGATACCCCAGGGCTTAGTGTGAGAGTCTTGCAAAATCTTGCAGCAGCCTGTTAACAGAAGATAAATAGACTTAACGAGAGGATGGATGCTTTTCATAGGGACATCTGGGGAAAGTTTTGACTGTTTTATTTGGAGGATGAAATAGAGCAGTTATAGTTTACTGACTTACAGGTCAACCACTACGATATATGGTGTGTGTGTGTGTGTGTGTGTGTAAGTGTAAGTGTGGCATACAACAATAGTTTGAATCAAGACCACTGAAAGAGGAGGGCGATGTGGTGTTGCAGCCAGCTGCTTGCTCCCTGGTTTCTAGTCTATGGGTTTGTGGTCTCTGGTTGTGGTCTGTGGTCAGCCTTCCTGTGACGACCCCTCCTGTCATCTGACCACAGCAACTGATGATGTTTGAATGCAGGGAAGCAACCAACCCTCCCACCCACCGTGGTCAGAATTGGCACAACGGTGCACCAAAGCCACATGCTTCCCAAGTCTCCTTAATGGTCTGAATGTTTGCTTTGGATCTGGAGTGATTCCTGCCCATATTTTAAGTGTATGTTTCTGTGGGGATATGTATACAGAAGTGTCAGGAGAGGAGGAGAGGAAAGAAGGGAGATTTCTAAGTGAGGGCGAACAGCTCGGAGGGAGTCAGAGAGTCCAAGAGGGAGGTGGCGACTGTTTACTAGGCTTTAGTTTGTCTGGAATGCTGCCACTTCAAATGTTTTCCTCCGAGAATAATCTGCATTTGTCTTTGACTGATTACCTCTGAGACTATTCTCCTCTGTGGAAATACCCTAAAAGTTGGTCCTGTGAAGGAACTGTTGTCCTCACCATGGATATTACAAGTGTATTTTTAAAGGCGCTTTCAAGAAAGTTCAATTTGATTTGATATTGTATGAGTTTCACAGTGTGTATCACAGGTTTTCAAGGATAACTCCACTGTTTTGCATACCCTAACTCTGACCTCATTTTGACCGCCTCTCTTACCCCCTCAGGCATACAGTATGACATTGTACAGCAAGGGCAAGGCTATGCATAACCTTAACACCACTGTAACATCCCCCTCTCTTTCTCCCCCAGGCATATGAAGCTGTACAGCGAGGCAGCAACGTTGCTGGAACACCAAGCGACCTTTGACCCTGAGGCCAGCTGGCTGAAGTTCCACCTGGGCATCAATCGCTACGCTCTATACGCCCGCGAGGACCCCACAATCACCCACCTGCTGAAAGACATGCAGACCACCACCGTCATCAGCGCAGGTTGGACCTGTTGTATGAGCGTTATAACCATTCATATAAGTGGTGTTCATATGAGTGTAATAACAACTCATATGAGCATTATAGTCACTCATAGCAGAACAACACTGTCAACAGTGCATGCAGGTGCTATAGGACCTCATGCTTTAAACATTTATATGATTGTTATAGGTATTCATTGCAGAAATGTCTTTATGCAGATTACACTCAAGATGAAAAGGCCCTCAAAGGAGCGTGTGACTGTACCCAGGGTAAGGTCTGGTGCTGTCTACGTACCTGCTCTGTTTTGTGCCTCTATGATTTGTGTGTTTTGTGTTCTAACATGCATTCCATTTGCTTAAAAGGTTTTCCATGAGGACAGGGAGAGAAATGAGAGAAAAGAGAGAATCAGTTGACACAGTCATCTTCATGACTGGTTCTTCTGTAGTTTTTCTCCATCTGTTATTTCCTTTGGTGCGCAGTTGTGGTATCAGAGCCAAACACCCAGTCGCACCACTGACAAGACTTTTGTTTTCATCTGGTTCCAAGCCCCATAAATTAGCATCATTTTAATTTCTCACACTCTCCAGATCTTCATAAGTCACATCCCTGGAGAAAGAGAGCAGAGAGTGGCTCATTTAGTTCAAAGGCAGAGTGTTTTTTAAAAAGCTTTATCTCAGAAAGCAGGAGAGTGGGGTGATTCTACAGCAGTCTACACAGCCTTACTATACCTTCAAGCAACAAACAACTCAGACCATGGATACACACTCACATGCCCACAGAGAGACAGACAGACAGACACACACAGACACACACACACACACCAATCTCATCTAACAGGGACCTACAGCCGGCTGCATTCCAAGATTTGTAGCTCTTTCAACCACACTCACTGAAAACACACTGGTGGCTTCAACCTTAGCAACAACACAAACACACTGGTGGCTCCAACCTCAGCCACAACACAAACACACTGCCAAGAACCCAAAAACCCTCTATTCCTCTGTCCCACATTTATTTTTATATGGCTTTTTCAACCACTTTTTCTTGAACGGTTGAAAAGCAACAATGTTCCCATTGCACTTCAAAGCTTGTTTGTGTCTGTTTGATTTTTCTCCAGTTAAACACAGCAGAGAGAGATTGTAAACTATTAATAAGCTACAACTTCAGAAGACTAAGCTGAATCAGTTGGAATCAGGAGGAGAAGCATGTATCTTTATGGTTACTGGTTAGCCTTGCTTTCTGCCAGGGTACGCTAAATACCCGGACATGGTAGAGAAACCCTGCTGAGTGTAGTCCTCCATCTGTGGAACCATTACAACCTCTGTCATTATCTTATCATTGGGAACAGGTCCAGGCTAAAACAGATCTAGAGCAGAGAAAATAATAACGAACACAATCAAAAAGAAACCCCAAGGATTCGAGCTGCAAAATAAACTCCTGGCCAACTATGTGTTTTTTGGATAGGATTTTTAGAGAGCTAAGCTTTCTCTCTGTACGAGACGAAGAGCTGCCGAGAGAGACACAGAAGCTGAGGGCAGGTGGTTGGCTGAGTGGTCGGTTAGAGAAAAGGCCTTGTTTAATTAATTTAATTTCTGATCCGTTTCTCTCTCTCTCTCTCTCTCTCTCTCTCTCTCTCTCTCTCTCTCTCTCTCTCTCTCTCTCTCTCTCTCTCTCTCTCTCTCTCTCTCTCTCTCTCTCTCGCTCTCTCTCTCTCTCTCTCTCTCTCTCTCTCTTTCCTGATGTCAGTGGTAAAGCCCAGTGGATACCACCTCAAGCTAGCCCTGAAGATGCAGAACTTTGGCAAGGCCATGTTCAAACCCATGAGGTGATTGTTTTTTGGGGAAATCAATCAGAGGGAGTATTCTGGTTTGTAGTAATATTTTGAACAGTACTGTAGATATATAAACCACTCTTGAACAACTCTCCCCTCTCATCTCCTTCTCTCAGACAGCAGAGAGACCAGGAGACTCCTGATGATTTATTCTACTTTGTCGACTTCCAGAGACACAATGCTGAGATCGCTGCGTTTCACCTGGACAGGTAACCTTGGCAACCTGTACTCTCCTCATATTTATTTAGTTTGGTTTTATTCAACCTTTAACTTACCTGGAACTCTCTCAAGGATTCAATCTATTTTCTGAGAAAGCGTATAAGAACCCTTCAAATTGAATGATTTTCAAGCATACTGTATTTCCCAAGTTGCCTCCCAACAAACAGAGCCGAAAGCGTGTACCTCCGTCTACCTTTGATTATGAAAGAAAGTGTCCTTGGGGAGATTAAGGCCTCTCCACTATTTCAACATGTCTCCTTCCCGAGCCAGGCATTTCATTTCCACAGACATAGGTGTAATTACTGCTGTCTACTGTAAAGTCTGTCTAACCTCCATGCCTCCAGGTTACTGCACATTAACTCAAGTGAGTCATCAGTCAAATACTGTCATTTGAGTCACAGCTTTTCAACCCAAAACCACACAAGACAGCAAGTCAACGTGGTTGTTATACCTTGAGGAACAACAACATTATGGATGGGTGTACATGGGTGTAGGCTACAATCCACAAATAAAGGTCAAATAAGTGATCAAGTTATTGTGTTACATACATTTTTACCTCACAATATACCATTTAGTCATTTTCTAATTTCATGAAATGGAAAAGAAGAGAAGAAAAACAAAGCGTAAATACTCGGTACACTGTGACTCTACACTACAGTACTGTCTAAGACTATATACTGGTCTGTCTGTGTGTTCCCACCAATGTCTCTGTGTTGTGTCTCTGTCTCTGTGTTGTGCCAGAGGCCTTATCATTATAAGGCACAATCAGCAGGTGAGATATGACAGCCCAGGCAGCACCTCAATAACATCTACAGTATTTCGTCTCAGATACACACACTGATGACTGTTATTGAGACACAAGTCTGTCAGACTGTAAATATGGCCCTGGGGGGATATTGCTACACATCAACAACTGCTAGATTACACAGCGGAGAACAGAAACAATCACATAGGTGTTATTATGGATAAAAATCAGTAAAGTTGAGTTCATTTCCTGTGACTTTGTGTATGTCAACTAAGGTGAGAGATTGCAGGAGCTATGAGTTCATCTGACTTTCTATTGTTTGTTCTGTTCAGAATGGAACTCTTTCTTCTAGAACTCTGAGTAGTAGAAGATGTATGAGTTTGCGTTAATCAGAATGGAACTCTTGTCTTTCTCTCTTCTAGAATCCTGGACTTCCGGAGGGTACCGCCGGTGGTGGGCAGGCTGGTGAATGTGACGGGGGAGATTCTCCTGACCACTCACAACGAGGACCTAATGAGTGTGTTCTTTACCTCTCCAGGTAGGCATTACCCTGCTGGAACAACACAGTTCCACAATAGGACAACTTGGCTTGAGAGTCTACACACCTGTTACCTAGATCTTAATTAATCAGTCTGTGATTAAAAGGCGAGGATCTACAATATATCTATTCTCTTTCAAACAGCGAACAACACGTGTTTCTTTGCCAAGTGCCTGTACGCGTGTAAGACGGAGTATGCAGTGTGTGGGAGCCCTGACCTGCTGGAGGGCTCCATGTCAGCCTACCTCCCCGGTCTCAGCATCGCCCCTCGTATCTCCATCCCCAACCCCTGGATACGATCATACACCTTCACTGGCAGGGAGGAGTAAGCATACAACCCTTAGACCTTAACCCTGAGACCTACTGTCATCTCTTCCCATATGCCATTTTGGAGCCTCTCATTTTCATTTTGAAAGTTCTCCATTTGACTGTTTTTTGATAAGGTAATATGGCAGACTGAACATGAATATCTTGTTACAATTAATATCTTGTTGTAATATCTTATAATATTTTGTTACAATCTGCATGTGTCCATCTCTACCAGGTGGGAGGTGAACCCCTTCTACTGTGACACCATAAAGCAGCTGTATCCCTACAACTCAGGGAACAGACTGCTCAACATCATAGACATGGCCGTCTTTGACTTCCTCATTGGTATGTACTAGCACCGATCACCCCTGATGTATCCCTGTCCTTGTCCCATATGACACCCTATTCCCTATGTAGTGCACTATCTTTGTCTATACAGTGAATAAACACGCTGTGTCAAAAATGACTCCCTATTCCCAATTACAGTGCACTACTTTTGTCTGTAGCCCTATGTGAGTGAATATTTGTTCTTGGCACTCTCCCTCAGGTAACATGGACAGGCACCATTATGAGATCTTCACCAAGTTTGGCGATGAAGGTTTTCTTCTTCACTTTGACAACGCCAGAGGGTGGGTACTAGAGTTGCTTTATAACTTCAGTCATTGTACAATGTAATATTTGTAGTTCCCTTATGATTACATCACTTCCTGTGTTTCAGGTTTGGGAAGCATTCTCATGATGAGATGTCCATTCTGGCTCCACTGTCACAGTGCTGCATGTAAATATGGAGGGCATCCACTATAGTCACTAACACAGATTAACTAACACCAATATTTAACCTTTATTCATATTTAACTTGGCATGGCCAAGTCTCACTCTCTGCCTATCTTTCCCTCATTCTCTCTCCCCTCTTCACCTCCATCCCTCCCCTTCCTCTAACCCCTCTCCCGCCCCTCCTCACCTCTCAGTATAAAGCGTTCCACGTTGCTGCGGCTGCAGCTCCTCTCCCAGGACCACTACAGGCTCAGTGACGTGATGAGGGAGTCCCTGGGAGGAGACACACTGCAGCCGGTCCTTGCTGAGCCCCACCTGCAGGCCCTGGACCGCCGGCTGCAGCGTGTCCTGAAGACAGTCCACAGGTGTGTCCGCAGGCTGGGAGAGGCTCAGGTGATCACCACAGACTTTATTGATACCTCCGCCAAGCCTGAGTCTGTCAAACCAGTGTCTGCGCCCAACAAGGAGAGGTAACTAAGGTTAATAAGGAATCCAAATGGAGGCCTGTGTGGCTCTGGTCAAAATAAGTGCATTATAATAGGGGAATAGGGTGACATTTTGGACGTATCCCCAAGTCCTGCAAGGGGAGGTAACTTAAGACCAAGGACAGCCTGAGGACCATGATGGCAGGTAACCTTGTCCTGTAAAAGCAGGAAGCACAGGGTCTGGTCTCTCTCACAGAGTAATGCATTCCGAACTAGTCTTTGAAGTCAAATCTTTGGAATGATACGGCCTGCTTTGACAATAGACAGCAGCACTGCTTTCCTGCATTATTAAAATGTCACGCATGGCCTTGGGCTATGAGGTCACCTGAGGTCACCTTCCATGCATTGCACCCTCTCTGGAGATCCCCTCTGCCTTGCAGTGCATTGAAATGGACCTACAGTATCAGTGCATCAAAGGAGCCAAATGACTGTGGAAGAAGCATTGGATAATTTAAGATTATTTCTGCCTCATGCCCTTCTTCAGTACTCAACAGTCATGTGACATCAATTAAGATATTTAGGGACAACTTTTGAAATTAAATTGCTTTTAGTTCTATGTAAGGTTGATTGCACATCGGTTCTGTGAAGTAACCTTGTGCCAACAGATGTTTTATCAAATATAAATGTGTAAATAAAGGTTTTGATTTGGGGTGATTTATTGAACAAAATTCTAATATGAAGAAATTATTGAACACTTCCATACTTATTACATTTCTACTGCTTTCAGTTGTGTAACTGTTTTGATTGATCTAGATACACATTAGACATACTGTAAATGGGTGAGTGATGAAAGGTAAATTGGGCCTCCGGGCACGTCATCTTTGGGGGAGAGAGCGAGAGAAAGCTATTTAAAAGAGGTAGTGACTGAGAGGAGGGGGCGAGGGGTGGGGGAGTGAAAGTTAAAAAGAAAGCAACCGAGAGAAAGTGCATGGACGAAAGATAATGTGTGTGTGTATGAGGGGTTTCTCCCTATAGGAAAGTGTTACCTATTAAACTGTCATTTAAACGGCCCATGGTTTTTCCAGATAGCACGTAGATGTCTAATCCCTGTCTGTCTGTCTGTCTGTCTGTCTGTCTATCTATCGGTCTCATCGGGTGTCTGTCTGCCATTTAAGTGCTTTCACATCATCAACCCAACCATAACACACCCTGACATAAATAGCCACAGCTACAGTACTGTATGTGTACATGCAGCTTATCATATCACCACCAGTTTATACTTTGTTCTAACTAGTCTGAAACAAAGCATTGTCTTCAAACAACATTCTGTTTGATGTCATTTCATCTCAACATGTCTGGACCTTTTGCTCTGAGCTGTTCTCATTGTTGTCCTGACTACAAATCCAATGTATCCTGATGTTTTAGAAGAGAGGGAGAATAACCACAGCTATTTTAAAGAGTCTGAGTAAGTGAAATCACACCAAATGAAGTTTGGCTTCTGTCCAACACTGCTGGAGGGAACCTGTTTTATAAGGTGTCAGCAGCAAAAACGCTCAGAACATTTATTGGTTGTGCAACAGTGACTGATCTTAAATGCATGCAGGAGTGGGTTCTGGGTTTACTAACTTTATGAGCTCTCCAATGAAGTGGGTCGCTTTCTTTCATCCACCGAAAGTTAAACATCCCATTTCAGCGACCACCATCAATGGGGTGCATATCAATAGGCTTAAGGTGCGTCCTTTTCTCATCTCTTTCCTTCATATGCACTGAACCAATAAAACAGAATGTCAAGAGGCCCTCCTGGGGATTTGCCTTCACCTGTCCTGTTCTCTCAGATCAATGTGGGTGTAATGAGTAAAGGAAACCACTGAAGAATATTAAGAGGTACTACACTGCCCTCCAGAGTTAGGACTATTCATTCATTATTATAGTATGTACATCTTCAGACAACCAATGAGTAAAGACTTACAGGACTCAGTCCGTGATTTTACTTTTTTATTGCTTAAACTGCCATCTGGAACAATCTATACCAAAAGGATAAATGTCTTTGCACATACAGGAAGTCAAACCGAGTACAGGCATTGGGTAGAATAGAAAAAGAATGGTCCTCAGATGACCTGCAGCTCTCAGAGCCTGCTGCAGGCCGCGCAAACTTGCTGAAGGTCGGGCTAAAAGGAGTGTCTATGCCCAGGTTACATAAGCTAAGGCAAACTGGGTCGATTGCAGTGTGCCTACTAGTTAGTAGTAATCTTGTGGTGGTGTGTTTCACCACATCAGTACTTCTATGTGATTGCTATGTGACAGAAGAAACACAAGCAAATAATTGGTGCGAGTTTGAACTGTCAGCAAATAGACAACGGCAATATTCCATAACATCAACTGAATCTGAAAGCACTACAAAAGTTTTGGACCAAGTTGGCAACACTGCCATCGACTCAGGATCATGTTGATTGGTTTTGGACATACAAACAAATGGTTACACAAGTCAATCCATCCATCCAGCCAGCCATACTGTTTAGTACACAAGATTAAGATTGGAAACATGACAGAGCCTAAACAAAGAGAATACCTCAGAAAGGGATAATAGCATTACCGTATGTAACGGTCCTTTCTGTAAGAAAGGGGTGAGGGGCAAGCTGTGAGGCAGGAATGCACAGGAATACAACCTTGAGACTATAGATTTTTGCTGGAGTTTGTAGAAAAAAAATGATAAACACATTTGTCAGAATTACATTGCATTCTTAAGATTCTAGGGGTGAAGCTGGTAGTAAATGACCAGCTGTTTGACTGTTATTTGACCAACAAAGGGAATACTCTTTCATTCACATCATCTCATCACTTTACATTATGCTGTAGGTAAGCATAGAGTAGATCACAGATTGTTTCAAAAAACACATTCAAATAATTCTCACAAAGCTTTAACAGCGAAGCCGCTTTAAAATAAATATATAATCTTAAAACTCAAGACAATTGAATCTGATGTCTGAATCACCCGTCATCGGGATTCTTTCTTTCTGACGCTTTTTAACTTCAGCGCTGAAATACAGAAATAATTAAGTCTTAAACCCATAAAACAATCTTCAATTTGGAGACTTAAAATGCTAATTATTTTAAAGCCCTTTCGTCTACTTTTAAAAGGTTAACCCATGACATTTTTCACAACACAACTACATACTGTTTTGTCAGTTGACAAGAATAAGCATTTATTTACGCTGTGGCACTGAACACCTAAAATAGAATTTATGGAAAAATAAGCATTTACAAAAAGACATTTAAAACGTACTTAAGTTTACCATCACTCCAAACCATAGCCGTAACATTAGTTCGTTCAGTCAATAACGATTACAATACCTTTGATAATAATTGAATAACTATATAATAATAATCATTCTGTTTAAAAAAGTATAGTGATGAAATTATTTGGTGTCTACTGAAAAATAATGAATACTGAAATACACTAATACTCCATGTTTTTCCCCCATTGTAGCCAATAATGTACCAATGAATCAGAGGTGAGTGTTAACATGGTGATAGATACCTCCTGTTTTGAGTTCCACTTCTTCGGACTATAGAATAAGAATCTTCTATGGGTTCTGAGTTGTGAAAACAATTATCAACATTTGGCACTAGTTTGGTAGCTGTACAACAGAAAACCTTCTGTTTGCATTAAGTTGTACAAACGCTCTCAAACAAGATAAAACAATAGTAAATTAGATTGATGGATCAATCAATGGAAACAATAGGAGAAATGTAAAAATTTATTCGATTAAATGTAGCAATGGAGGATAACCAGACGATCATAACATGAAAGCTACATAAGAAATTAGATGCAATCCTTATGCTTCCAGCATTCTTCTAATTCTGAAAGTAAAAATTAGATAATTTTGTGAGATTGCCAACCTTCACACTTTTATATGGAACCAAAATATCTACCCAATATTCATCATGGATGCTTACTTCACCATGTCTGATTGTCCCATCTTATCATTGGCCTGTCCTAACCTCGGCCAATCCCCTACTAATCACTGATCGTGTTTAAAATTAGAGTTTACAATTTTTTTATTTTTTTTTCAGTGAATGCAGTGAAAGCATACTGTATGAAGCTGGTACATGTAACATAACTGTGCCCGTATGGGTGACTAGGATGGCTAGGTGATGGGTAAAAAAAATAGCAAAAGCAAACGGAAGATCAAATTAATTGACATTAAAGCAAAATTGCATTTGTGTGTCTAAAAGAAGAGGGGGATGTTATGGGGTTACATAGGAGATTAGGGGGTACAGGGGATGGGGAAACCCCTCAGACAGACAGTGAAACAAAGCTGTTGTACTGTTGGATGTTGCGTTTGAGAATGTCTGAGCAGGGTCCTAGGACGCGTTCGAACCGTGGTCTGTCCAGCTTCACACACTTCAGAGGACCGCGGGCGACCACAGTGGCAGCACGGGGTCGGTTCATCAGCAGGGCAATTTCACCTGGAGGAACGGCATACATGGTCAATACAAAACAGGCTTCCCAAATCTGGTTAATTTCTGCTAATATAACATCCAAATATGTAAGAGGCTTCACAAATCAGGTTAGAGCTGTGTGCTTTTCTTATCATATCACCTTAAAATGTGAGATTCAGGCTTATATACTGCATACACAAACAAATGATTAAAGAAACAAAAAGTTGATGAGAAGAGAGGGAGAGTTGAAGCCTGAGGAGGTTCTTCTTACCAAAGTAGTCAGACGGTTGTAATCTCCCAACCTCCACAAACTCCTCATTCTCAGAGCGACGCTGCAATACAGCTGCAGAACCCTACAGAACAAAGAACAGAACACCAACATCAGGGTGCTGTTCAGTAGGGTGAGTTTTTTTTTAAACAGAGTGAAACCATAATGTGATGTACATACCTCCAGTATGATGAAGAACTCATCGCCAGGCTCTCCCTGCACCACAATCTTCTGTCCGTCATCAAACTGCACTGGCTCCAGAGAATCAGCCACTGTCAGACGCTCCCATTTGTCCAGAGACTCTAAGGGGGTGGAATCACAAGACAGGGACGTAAGTGACATCACAATACAGAACCAAAACGAAACCATACAATGTACAGTACACCTAGGTGGTGGACGAAGAGTTGTTAACACATCTTGAAACCACTGTATGCAAGTGGCTATATTCAGAGCCTAAAATCAACACCCGCCACCTGCAGGTAGATTTTGGCATTGGCGGGTAAGATGTCTATTTCACTAGCCACATTGGCGGGTGGTCAGGGCTCCACAATGCGAGCATTTCACTTGCATTTGTGAATAAAAATGGTCAAGTATGATCACATTTACTGTAAAATAAATGCTACAGTAGCTGTTTTCAAAGTATTTCTGCCGTTTTGTTTCATAGCCGGTAAAATAATTGCAAAAAGTCAAAAGAACTACGAATCTTATATTCCTCGCTCTGCAACACTGCCTGGCAGGGGGCTGTACGCACGTGTAGAGCTGAGTGAAAGATTCATTTTTAGAAGCGCTGCGCACTGGCATAAAAGTTGGTCTAATTTATTTGAAACGAAAGTCTACCGAAGTGACGGTTCATCACTGTGCCATTAAACCCCTACAACTTATCCAGAACGCTGCAGCCCGTCTGGTGTTCAACCTTCCCAAGTTCTCTCATGTCACCCACTCCTCCGCACACTCCAATGGCTTCCAGTTGAAGCTCGCATCTACTACAAAACCATGGTGCTTGCCTACAGAGCTGTGAGGGGAACGGCACCTCCTTACCTTCAGGCTCTGATCAGACCCTACACCCAAACGACGGCACTACGTTCATCCACCTCTGGCCTGCTAGCCCCCCTACCTCTACGGAAGCACAGTTTCCCGCTCAGCCCAGTCAAAGCTATTCGCTGCTCTGGCACCCCAATGGTGGAACAAGCTCCACCATGATGCCAGGACAGTGGAGTCACTGACCACCTTCCGGAGACACTTGAAACCCTACCTCTTTAAGGAATACCTGGAATAGTCTAACAGTAATCCTTCTACAACCCCCCTCCCCCAGTGGTGGTTGTCCCACTGGATATCCTAAGTTGAATGCACCAATTTGTAAGTTGCTCTGGATAAGAGCGTCTGCTAAATGACTTAAATGTAAATGTAAAAGTGAGACTTTGTCCTTGTGTTTCTTGGCTATTTACATTGTTTAGTTCACAAGCTGGGTTGTTTTTCAATGTTTGAGTTTCAACTGCTAGGGAAGAGAAGATAACGCTTCTACTAGTCAGACTCAATCTCACAGGCACAAACATGACTCCAGTTGCATTACCACGGTAACGTCCTGCCCGTGAACATTTATGTCTCATCTAAAGTATTAGTTAAAAGACTAATGAAACAATATACCACATTTCTTCTTACTAGTAATACATTTATTGTTTTAGAAACATTACAAAGCATGCTCATCTGTTTTTTTGTGTTTTGTTGGTGTAACTTTAGCAGAATAAAATATATATTGGCTGGTAAAAAATCTGAGTGAATGGTAGATTTGTTAAATATACAGTGCGTTCGGAAAGTATTTAGACTCCTTGAATTTTTCCACATTTTGTTACGTTACAGCCTTATTCTAAAATTGATGAAATTGTTTATTTTCCCCTCATCAATCTACACACAATACCCCAAAATGACAAAGCAAAAACAGCTTTTTAGAAAATGTTGCACATTTATTAAATATAAAAATGACATTTACATAAGTATTCAGACTCTTTACTCAGTACTTTGTTGAAGCACCTTTGGCAGCGATTACAACCTTGAGTCTTCTTGGGTATGACACTACAAGCTTGGCACACCTGTATTTGGGGAGTTTCTCCCATTGTTCTCTGCAGATCCTCTCATGCTCTGTCAGGTTGGATGGGGAGTGTCGCTGCACAGCTATTTTCAGGTCTCCCCAGAGATGTTAGATCGGGTTCAAATCCGGTCTCTGGCTGGGCCACTCAAGAACATTCAGAGACTTGTCCCGAAGCTACTCTTGGCTGTGTGCTTAGAGTCGTTGTCCTGTTGGAAGGTGAACCTTCACCCCAGTCTGAGGTCCTGAGCGCTCTGGAGCAGGTTTTCATCAAGGATCTCTCTGTACTTTGATCCATTTATCCTTCCCTCGATCCTGACTAGTCTCCCAGTCCCTGCCGCTGAAAAACATCCCCACAGCATGATGCTGCCACCACCAACCTTCACCGTAGGGATGGTGCCAGGTTTCCTCCAGATGTGCCGCTTGGCATTCAGGCCAAAGAGTTCAATCTTGGTTTCATCAGACCAGAGAATGTTGTTTCTCATGGTCTGAAAGTCCTTTAGGTGCCTTTTGGCAAACTCCAAGCGGGCTGTCATGTGCCTTTTACTGAGAAGTGGCTTCCGTCTGGCCACTCTACCATAAAGGCCTGATTGGTGAGTGCTGTAAAGATGGTTGGGTTTCTGGAAGGTTCTCTCATCGCCACAGAGGAACTCTGGAGCTCTGTCAGAGTGACCATCGGGTTCTTGGTCACCTCCCTGAACAAGGCCCTTCTCCCCTGATTGCTCAGTTTGGCCGGGTGGCCAGCTCAAGGAAGAGTCTTGGTGGTTCCAAACTTCTTCCATTTAAGAATGATGGAGGCCACTGTGTTCTTGGGGACCTTCAATGCTGCAGAAATGTTTTGGTACCATTCCCCAGATCTGTGCCTCGACACAATCCTGTCCCGGAACTCTACGGACAATTCCTTCGACCTCATGGCTTGGTTTTTGCTCTGACATGCACTGTCAACTGTGGGACCTTATATAGACAGGTGTGTGCCTTTCCAAATCCTGTCCAATCAATTGAATTTACTACAGGTGGACTCCAATCAAGTTGTAGAAACATCTCAAGGATGATAAATGGAAACGGGATGCACCTGAGCTCAATTTCGAGTCTCATAGTAAAGGGTCTGAATACTTATGTAAATAAGGTATTTTTGTTTTTTATTTTTAATAAATTTGCAAACATTTCTAAAAAACGGTTTTCGCTTTGTTATTATGTGGTATTGTGGGTAGATTGATGAGGAACATTTTTTATTTAATCAATTTTGGAATAAGGCTGTAACATAACACAATGTGGAAAATGTCAAGGGGTCTGAATGCACTGTACCTGCCACAGTGGCTGGTGGACCAATTTGTTTGGGCCCTGGCTATAATTACTATTATTATTATTATTATTACAGGGGAAATGTCAAAGAGCAGAAGAAACAGTGAGCCTTACCTAAGATGGAGACTTTGCTGAGGAACTCCTCGTACATCTTCCTCTTCCTCAAAGTGCTGCCCTGTAAAGAATAACAACAAGTCCTAATGTTTATTCTGACAATTGTTGTAAGCCTTCAAACATCATGCATAAACTGGTCATAGGGCTCACCTTTTGTAGTTGTCTGTATATTCAATTCGTAAAATCCAGCAGTTATAAAAATCGTAGCAGTTCCACCTGTCCCTACTCATCGTTAATCACGCCAAAAGTAAATCAATAAATCATGTCAGTCAGGTGAAGTGTCAGAGCAGAGTAGGGGGAGGCTCACCATGAGTATCCTCCTGTAGCTGTCTCTGTCGATGCCCCACAGTTTGACGTTGCTCTTGGCTCGGACGGTGGCAGCCCTGGGGGTCCCGTAGATCAGGGCCAACTCGCCGAAGCTGCCCCCCTCCCCGATACTGGTCACCCACTCATTGTTCACATACACCTGGCAGAAAGGGGGAGAGGGGTATTTAGACATTAAGATTAGTTAAGGTGAGTGTGTTACTGTCTCTATTAGATGTTGTTTACTGCCTATGTGCTTTCTTGTATTATATCGAAATAATGAGGCGTAGACATATAATTAGAATGCTACATCTATGAGAGTAGGCATTGCTAAGGTAACAGATAATAGGGATCTGAATAGCCAAGTAACATATGACAAAAAAAGAATACAGAACGGTCTAAAAAGAGAGTTTCAAAAATAAGCCTGTCATATTCAGGAGAAAAAAAACAAGACACGCTTTCAACTTGGGGGCCTGTTTTCTTTAAAATGGGAACGCTTGTGTGTGTTTGTGTGTTAACACGAGAGTCATTGTGCAAAAAGAGTGTTGTTGGTTCCTAAAATACATCAAAAGAGACTTACATCCGTCTCTCCTTGGTCGATGACGTAGAAATTATCCCCCTCATCACCTGAGAGAGAAGACATTGTTAATCTTTTCTCTGGAATAAAAATACACTTCAGGTCTACTTGAATTTCCACTGAATCTAAATGAAAATGAGAGCCTACTGTACCTTGCATAATAACAGTCTCTCCAGCGATGTAGGTAACTGAAAACATGGCGTCAAAGATGTCGCTGTGAATAAAGAGTTTGTGGCATAATCAGTGGGATTGATCTAAACTCACATTGACAACCAATCTTTACAGACAAATCAAATAACATTAACAACAAAGCCTGTTAACAACATACCTCCTCTCGTTGTCATCCAAGTGAGAGAAAAGCACATTCTTTTCGATAGCTTTAGCCAGGGCAGCCATTGTTTTGTAGTCTTTAGGAATGACCTTGAAAACAAAAAGCACCCATGATTTAGGAATGACCTTGAAAACAAAAAGCATCCATGATTAAGCAAATCATACTAGGTATTCACAATCTCTCCAGCCAGCCCATAGATATGACTAAGTAGAGAACATTGTTTTGTGGGCTAGTCTAAGTGACTGCGTTTTGTCTGATGCTTTGTTGTTTTACTAGAGCCATGATGTAAGTTTATTTTTATGTGGCAAGTTATGTGTGTGTGTGTGTGTGTGTGTGTGCGCGTACAGTATGTTGATATGAGTGTGTGTGTGTATCCTCACCTTTCTGACATAGGATGCAGCATCCTCCTCTGTATAGACCTCAGCGCTGATGGCTCCTCTCCGCCGGCGACCCTTAACAACAGGGTTCATGGGAGGAGACACCTCCTCATCCCGGGAGTCAGAACGGCTGCTGGCCTTCTGCTGGTTCAGGATCTGCTTGGCCTCCTCCTGCATGGGTCACAGGTCAGAGGTCACACACAGCCAATCAGCTGCCAGGGCAACACTTTACAATATAAAGGCACTACAATTATAAAACGAGTTTCATGGAAGGGCCTGGAGGCACACAGCTGGATGTGCGCACACACACACACACACTCGCCACCCTACCCACCCAGACTCACCTTCTCCAGCCTCTCGAAGTACTCTCTGAGAAAGGCCATGGGTCTGTCAGGCCTGGAGGTACACAACTGGACGATGCAGTCCTTCAGCAGCTGCTGGATGTTGTGTTTCTGCACGTACAGCTCACACTCCCTCAGACTCCTCTCCTCCTCGCTGCTCGTACTGCCCGACGCCATCACGATTGAAGACGCGCTACTGCTCCGCTACCAACTGGTGAACTGTCGAATTCTGGCCTCTAAACTAGAGATTGAGAGAGACAACATGGATTGTTGCTTCTATTACGCTATTTTTTTTGAAAGGGTTAAAATGTTATTCTAATGTGGTTGTTACAGTCTTATAACATCTGATAACTGCCTAAAATGTAAATGAAAGAGAGGGAGAGGGAGAAAGGGAGGGAGGGAGGGACTAATTGGAAGAGATTAAAGGAAGGTTGAGAGAGTGAGACAGAAAGAAAAAGAGATAGGCATTTTAGGGATGCTTGAGGGTAACTTGATCATATGATGTGATTAAGTTTTAAGTGGTGGTAAACAGATGGGCCTAAACAACAAAAACGGTATCCTTGTTTGATGGAAACAAAAGTTACATTTCTTATCAGTTTCATCATGCAGAGGTCAGGATTACTGTATATCATATGCCATTTAAATAGGACCATGTCTTTACTAATCTGTCAAAGTAGATTTATCTTTATAATCTTGATAAAAAATGGAGCCAGATAGCAAGTATGACATGCTGCTTTACTACGAAAGAGGGGATCTAGTGCATTGGTAACGTTAGGTACACCAACAAAGGGTTGCATTGTACACTAAGTACAGATCATGAAGAGGCAAATGATAGAAACAACCATTTACATCAAGTATCAATAAAATAAATAATTAGCCGAGCTACTGCTGATTATGGATTTCACACAGTTCTTCAATGTCCTGCTATCTAGCGATGCTTATTTATCTGGTGTTTTCAATACTGCCCCTGAACTGTCTCCTGGAATAATATGACAGATCCCCCACCAAAAAACAACAACATTCAAAATGACCTTGCTTTCAAAACGTTGATTGGAGCAGTAACGTTACAACTTCGACGGGTAAATTAGAAGGCAAAACTATGGTTGGCTACCAACAAACATGATGGGGAAAACAAGGTACATCGGTAGCATCAATGCTAGCTAACTATGATAGTATAGCTATTAAAGATACAACACTAGTTAGGAGCATAACGGATGACAGCAACCAAGACCTAACTGGCCTAGGCTATAATACTGACTGTACGCTAGCTAACGTTACTAGAGTTAGTACGCATTAGATCGCTGGGTTGATCGCAGTTTACTGGTACCTTAGCTAACTTAAATAAACATAATCATGACCAAGCTAGCTTGCTAAAACTGTATTGTTGGATATCAAATCTATCAACAAGCTAGTTAGCTAGCTAGTTGGCATTTTGGCCTGCAAAGCCAGTCCAGAGATACTTCTGTTCTGGACAGTCTTGCCAATGACGCCATCTTGAGCTCTATCATAAACAAATACCAGGCGGAGGCTACATATCCCGAAATCGCAAGGGCATACATTTCAAACAATGTGGCGCAATACTTACAAGAATCCGCAAATTCTTACCGAGCTCTTCGACACTAATTCGGTTTTGGATGTTATTTCCACCAGCGTACCAAATATCTCCCTTCGATTTTTCCAAATCCTTGGACCGCTGCCCACCGGATATGGGTTTAGAACCAATCACGAGCCGTCATTGACGTCAATTCGCCTCGTTCTGACATGTGAGCCGTAACCCTTGGCAACATTAAAGGGGAACGCATGGAAATCATGACGTCAATGGGAAATCGATTGCAGATATAAGGACCTGATAGCCTTATATTCATTTCCCATGAACGGTGGAGCGGCATTTATTCAAAGAATACTAAATGTAGGAATATTTTGGGAGGAGTTTGTTGTTTTAGGAAGATTAATTTTCTGCACACTGTGCTTCAGCAGTTTAACTTTATTATAAACAATATATGGCAGATCGCAGTGCCATTGGATTAGATTACGTTTAATGACTGATCAGGCAAGAAATATGTAAAATACATTGTTGTGCAGATATAGGATCTTAATTTGAGCCAGTTTGCTACAGTAGTAAAATAATCATGCAGCAACAGGAAATGTGAATTATTATGTGGATTATAATTAAAGGACATTTTTGTAGGGGGTGATACAGTTTTCGTTAAGGCAAATCAAGTCTGAAATTACAAACTTTAGAAGCCTTTTTAAAACTCAAATACACTACAAGTTTGCATTTCCTGCTTTGCAGGAATATTCTCACCAACAAAAGAGTGATCAAATGAAGTAAGATCCTACATCTGTATGCATTGCTTTTACGTAAACTCTGCAAAGCTTCACAACGAGATGTGGCAAGGATGCGGTCAGCAAAACACTTGATGGGTCCATCCATTTGGCGCAGCCTCAAACACTCCAACCAATCAAAACAATCAAAACAATTCCTCGTGCCCGAATGAAGGTAAAGTGAACCAATCGCAATCGTTTAATTTTTTAAATGGGCGGTGCTCTCTGGACTGTTTTCTTGTAAACCAATCAGATACAGGTTTTGAAAAGGTCGGCCAGTCTGAGTGGTGCAGAGGTAACCCCCCAATGTTCTTACCAGCCAATAGAAAAGGAGGCAAAAGTCACGCATACAGCCCTCATCGGGTTTTGTTTTGTTTGTCTGTCTCATGTTAACTCTTGAAGTTAGGGTTAAAAACAGAACAATACAAGCGCCTTCCTCTAAAAGTAAAAAACAACAACAGCGAATTATAGTTTCAGGATTCAAGCCAGCTGTTTCTAATTTGTTTAGCATTTATTACATTGTATTAACTAATCTCTAGCGCATACGTGTGTAGAGGAGCTGGGTTTCGGAGTGATCGATCAGAACCCATGCCTCCTAACTAGGGCAGTGGAGCAGGAGAATAACCGTGGACGAGATGGAGGACCGGGAGACATCCGACGGTCCGGGAGGGCCTCAAGACTTGATCAGCGCATCGTTCAACCAGGACACCACGTAATCTAGCGGATTCTCCTTGTTGTACTGCTAGATAGATTCTTCTTGCATAATCTAGGGCCGCAGTAAATCCTTATGCTTCCAGCTATAATATGGTCTTTATGCTGGTCTGTAGCAGAAATATGTTAGTGTGTGAATTGTTTCTTCCAACCTCACCCACTTGTGCATTTTGTTTATCACTGTTAATCCAATGGTGTCTCTTTAACACAGTTCCTAAAATATAGGTTACTAGTTTAGTAGGCCACCACACTACGAAGGCCTATAGATGAGAGAAAAGTATCCAAGATAGATTTGACCTACAGTAGAGATACTGGTCAGCAGACTACACACTAAAAACAAATGGTTCTATATAGTGCCAAATAAGGGTTATTAGGCTTGTAACCTATCCACCTCATTTTCGAACGCTTTTAAAACACGGAAGCCAAACGCTGAAACTATGGATACAACTTCCTCCACGCTCGCGCATTATCATAATTGATATGTGCGCCACTAGAAATCCCTGCATTAGCATGTTTAGGTTAGCTGAAACGTCATTAAAAATATATATATTACCAACGATTGTTCTATCTGTGATATTACTGCCCTGTTAATGTGACCTTGGATAAAAAAAGCATTACTGATCCAAATGGTTGCCCAATCAGGCAGGCTAGATGCAGTTGTTTCGAAATGGACATGCATTCATAACGCCAGGCTTTTGAGCGGTTACTCAAACAACACAGGCTATTCACTGCAGTTTACATCTTAGAGTTTTATACTCTCTTTAAAACAATAACATTCTTCATTACGTTGTTTTGTTGTAGCCTAGGTAGGATAAATGTATTGTCCCTAATAAACTGAAACAGTAGGGTAGCTTTTCGAACTGCAAACGCGGGGATTGGAGCGCACTCAGCGCAGCATCTGGAGCGCAAATAGTGTAGGCTACCTATGATACACTTTCTTTTATTTCACTGTGTAAATTTACTTGATTTATTCACTGCAGTATGAAGCCTAACATTGACTTTATTAATTATGGGCTAATATGCATACGCTTCGAACATAGGCTATAGGCTACATCTCCAGCCTGTCTATTATTGTGTTTATTAACAAGTTGAATCAGGTGTGCTAGCTCTGGAACAGCTGGGGGTCCCAGGGGGAGAGAATTGAGAACTACTGACTTAGTCAACTGTTCACAAAACACAGTCACTGGCCACAGTCATATACTGTATAACATATGATAGCATAACACAACAGATTAGATCAACTGGAATGACACTCACTCACAGTTGCACAAAAAGAGCTGTGAGAAAACCATGCCCCAAAATATTCTAATGAGCCGCCACCCCTACATCTTAATTATCACAAAAAAAGGAAATACAATTTTTTTGAACTGCAAATAGCCATTGAAGGGCTCAAAGGGTTCTTTGGGTCAGTATGGTACCACATAGAACCATCACCCTTCCGAAAGAACACTTGAGGAACCCTCATTTTTTAGTGTGTATTGTGCAAGTCTGGTATTTGTCTCAGATGATGACACATGCAATGAGTTTTGGAACTGTCAAATACTTAGGCTATCACCACTGCATGCATGGGGCGGTTGGATGTATTGGATTATGGCAACATGAGTGAGTGTGAGTGATAGAGGAGCATTCAGACACTGTTGATCTACAAGATGATTACAGGTGTAATAACAGCTGCATAGCTGGGGTCTGGGGTCATAAACAATCCAGGTGGTCAAACACTTGACATTAACTCTCTCCCATTTTCAATCATCCTCAGCAGTTAGGCTATATGTTGCCTGGCTGGGCAAGGCCTATATCCCACTGAACCACACACCTGATCAACTCTGGGTAGAGGTTGCCCTCAGGCACAGATCTAGGATCAGCTCACCCTCCCCATAGCGTAACCTAAACCATAAGGGGGGAAAACATTAAACTGATCTTAAATCAGTGTCTATTCTAGAATTAATATCATCCTATATCATCCTACTCCATCTGTTGACAGAGGCCTGCCCCTCCTTTTCTCTACACAGTATCTCTGTATATGCCCATAGATAGTATGCTTGAATATCAGTGCTGTTTGAAGTGCTTAGGGTGATCACATCTTTTCGCAACAGCGAATGGGGATCCAAATAAATAAATACATGACCTGATTCAACTCTTGCTGTGTTGGTCATACAGCACACTGTGTATCCTTAATTTCCCCATGACTGCTATATATAGCTCACTGGGTAGTGAGGCATTGCATGTATTCCCTACACTTCCTGGTCAGCTGAGTGTGTGTATGACTGTCCTTAGAAACAACATCCTCAGCCTTGGTCCAATCAGCCTTTCCGCTCATAAACATTGTGGAATCTCATTGTTTTTTATTGTATGGTTTTTCTGTTTATGTGCATTAATTTCCGTTGCTTAAGACCCCTATGGTAGATGATTACTTAGATTATGGCACAACAAGTTAACATCTATATATTTGTTATATCATATCATCAAAATGTCACCTTCAAGCAAACCTTGAGAGGGGATTATGATGAAACCGTTATGGCGGTTATAGAGCAGGAATGGGCAACTTTGATGGGGGTGGGGGCCACAAAAAAATGGAACTCATCATGAGGGGCCGCAGTGGCTCGTGGGTCTGCGTACCCAAATCCATACTCCCCCTCCCCCGGCCCCTCTCATGACAGTAAACAGAAAAAGTTCATTTTCTGCAATTCTACACATTTTGCCATGGGGCGGAGATAAGATTTAGCGATTTTATAACACGTTTCCTGCAATTCTACACATTTTGCCATAGGGTGGAGGCAAATGTTTGCAGCTTTTAATATGATAACTGATGATCAATGGGCCCCACCCCGGTTCGACTATGCTTACTACGAGTTTAGATACCTGGCTGATAGACTAATTTACCAATCCACATTTTTTTTGCTGACATGGGCTAATTGAGTGACTGCTGATGCACAACCACATTTCAAAATTGCACCTTGGGTATTCTATTATTCTAACTCTCAACAGTAAGTTGAGACCCCGGCTGCCCATTCCTGATATAGAGCGGAGGGGGGGTGGGGGGCAGGACCAAGTTTGGGAAACCCTGATATAGGGTATACACATAGTGGGCGCCATCTTGGATGTGTAATAACAGTTGGGTCTCTGTGTGTCTCAGGTCTCTATCAGTGGGCACTAAGTCAGGCTACAGACTCTTCTCTGTCACCTCGGTGGACAAGATGGACTGCATCCATGAAGGAGGTGAGTGAGTTTCCTTATAGCCTGTGTGTACTGGTAGCTAGTAACTACAGTTAAACACTGGCAGAGGTTCGCTAAACTGCAATCATAGGACAGGGACAAAACAACCACTCAGTAAGCTGTGGTCAGGACAACTAGCGTGGTTGTACAGTAGTCTCTAACCAGAGAACAAGTTGTTCTAAGCTGACACAGCCCTCCCTCTCCCACATATGTAAACAATGGTAGTGAGTAACGCGTTACACCATAAGCCTGTTCCCAGTAATGCATTCTACAAGTATTTTATCAGTGTTTCATATCACGGTGAGAGGAAAGTGTCAGCCTATGAATGTTTTGGTTTGAGTATCAAATCAAAAAATCAAATCCAATTTTATTTGTCACATGCGCCAAATACGACAGGTGTAGACCTTACCGTGAAATGCATACTTACAAGCCCTTAACCAACAATGCAGTTTTATGAAAATATTTACTATGAAATTAATGTGTTGAAATGTGTGCCTGTGTGAGTGTGTATGTGTTTGCGTGTCTGTGCATGTGTGATCTATGCACATGTGTACCTGTGTGTGTGTATTCTATGCAAAGTGTTTTTATATAAGCACTTGTATGTGATTTAACCCTTCCCTTCCTCTCCCAGCGGAGTGTCCAGACGTGTACATCGTGGAGCGGTTGTTCTCCAGCAGTCTGGTGGTGGTGGTCAGTCTCTCCATGCCCCGACGTATGAACGTCTACCACTTCAAGAGGGGAACAGAGATCTGCAACTATAGCTACTCCAACAACATCCTCTCAGTCAGGCTCAACAGACAGGTAATGGCCATCGGAGGCCCCATTCCAAACCAACTCCTCACCCCTATCCCTAGGTCAGATTGAGGCCCCATTCCAATCCAATCCCTCTCACCTATCCTGAGGTCAGTTCCCATTCCAAACCTATCCCCCCTTATAGCTCTGCAGTAACGTTTCTCTCTCCGTCCTCTGTAGAGGCTGGTGGTGTGTCTGGAGGAGTCTGTCTACATCCACAACATCAAAGACATGAAGCTGCTCAAGACGCTGCTCAACACACCCCACAACCCCTCAGGTACTGAATACACACCTAGGCACACACACACACGATGCGTACCCTCAACTATGCTACGTTTTTAAACACAGACACACCCTCCAACCCGTCAGGTCTCTGTGCCCTCTCTGTGAACCATGGTAACTCCTACCTGGCGTACCCTGGCAGTCAGACCATCGGAGAGATCATTGTCTACAATGCCAACAACCTGGTAAGACCTGATATTCAAATGACTTCTGCCACCACTGCTATTCAAGTCAGTCTACACAGCACAACGCAGGGGATATTCATGTTGATCCCAATGGCAACTTGCATTTATCTAGTAGAGTGGTTGCAGTGGTAGTTGAAATGCCTTAATACCTCTGAGTACATGGAGTACAATCATTGCATGTCACAGCTGTTGAAGTGGTCGCAGGTTGATGTGTGAGGTGACGTGTGACCTGTGTGTTCCACAGAGCACGGTGACGATGATCCCAGCCCATGACAGTCCCCTGGCAGCTCTCACATTCAATGCATCAGGAACCAAACTGGCTAGCGCCTCCGAGAGGGTGAGTCTGACTGTTCCTCCCTCTCTCTCTCTCTGCCTGTCTTTCTACTGTATCTCTCTCTATATATACACTGAGTATACCAAACATTAGGAACACCTTCCTAATATTGAGTTGTGTTCCACAGGGAGGCTGGCCCATGTTGACTCCAATGCTTCCCACAGTTGTGTCAAGTCGGCTGAATGCCCTTTGGGTGGTGGACCATTCTTGATACACACGGGAAACTGTTGAGCGTGAAAAACCCAGCAGCGTTGCAGTTCTTGACACAAACCGGTCACCTCGCACCTACTACCATACCCCGTTCAAAGGCACTTAAAACTTTTGTCATGCCAATTCAACCTCAATTGTATCAAGGCTTAAAAATCATTCTTTAACCTGTCTCCTCCCCTTCATCTACACTGATTGAAGTGGATTTAACAAGTAACATCAATAAGGGATCCTAACATTCACCTGGGCAGTCTATGTCATGGAAAGAGCAGGTGTTCTTAATGTTTTGTATACTCAGTGTCACTCCCTTTCTCTGTGTACAATAGTTGTGTCTGACCATCTCCTCCTCCTCTCCAGGGTACAGTGATCCGAGTGTTCACCATCCCAGAGGGACAGAGACTGTTTGAGTTCCGCAGAGGGATGAAGAGGTCAGTTTATGACAGACAGACTACAGACACACACACCATACTACAGCTGATAGACACACAATGCTTTAGAATGTCTACTACTACAAGGTTTTGTAGGGGTAGGTTTGGTCTCTTGAGGATGATGACTTTTACCATGTGTGTTTGTGTCTCAGGTACGTGAGTATCAGCTCGTTGTCCTTTAGTACAGACGGCCAGTTCCTCTGTGCCTCCAGCAACACAGAGACGGTCCATATCTTCAAACTGGAACATCACAGCCCCAGGTACACACTGTTTACTCTCTTTTGATTTTGTTGTGTTGCTTGTGTTACAACTTGGCCCTTTCTGGTCCTCAGTGGCTAGTTGTCAGGAGTGGAAGATGCTTTGTGTTACAGTTGTCTTTGTAGTCAGTTGGGAAGAGGAGTGTGATTGACTTGTTGTGTGTGACTGTGTCTCTTCTGCCTGTCTGTAGTCGAGAGGAGGAGTCTCCTACGTGGGGTGTGTACGTGGGGAAGATGTTCACAGCAGCCAGCACCTACCTTCCCTCCCAGGTCTCTGACATGATGCACCAGGACCGGGCCTTCGCCACTGTACGACTTAATATGTTCGGACTCAAGAACGTCTGTGCCTTGGCCACGTACGTTTGTGTGTGTTTCAATCCTGCACGGCGGGATGGTGTATGTCAGTGTGCGTTTCAATGTTTGGTAACTCTTTATTTTACAGTCCTATGTATTGTTATGATTTTCAGGGTTCAGAAGCTGCCGCGTCTGCTGGTGGCATCATCAGATGGACATATCTACATCTATAACATCGACCCACAGGAGGGAGGAGAGTGTGTGTTGGTCAGGAAACACAGGTGAATAAGTGTGTGAGCCTAAGGGTTGGGGTCAATTCCATTTAAATTCCAGTCAATTCAGAAAGTACACTGAAATTCCTATTTCAATTCTCTTCAATGCTTTTCAATCAGGAAAATGTGCAATTGGAATGTGGTTTACTTTCTGAATTGACTGGAATTTAAATAGAATTGACCCCAACCCTGGTGAGTGCGTAAGCATGTTTGTATATGCGCTTCTGTGTGGGTGTTTGTGATCACGCTCTCTTTGTGTATTCTCCAGACTATTTGAAGGAGATGAGGAGCCACAGGAAGAACAACAGGAAGAGGAGGAGCTTGAGGATGGAAGATCCCTCCCACCGTCAACCAGCCCATCAAACGCTGCCACTGTGGCCCTCCCCTCGACGCCACCCTCTTCTACCACTCTCTCAGGTATTGTGTGTATGTTTGTTTGTGTGTATGGTTCGCGTGTGTATGGTGTGTGTATGTCTTACCTTATGTGATTTAGTCTGGTGACGTGACCTTTTGTCATCTCTCCTCTCCTTCCATCTTCTTCCTTCCCCGCTCCCTCAAACCTCTCCCCAGGCTACTCAGAGGATGGAGGGGCTGAGAAAGGTGATGTGATCCCTGAACATGAGTTTACAGAGGGACCCGTCTGTCTGGATGACGAGAACGAGTTTCCTCCAGTCAGCAACCAGAGCAACTGACCCGCCTTTTCCCAGGAACCAATCAACTGTAGCCATTCAAGCTAGAAGAAGGAATATCAGTATTCAGAGAATCCCCCCCCCCATGTCCCCAATGAGCCAATCAGATGGGAGAAATGTAGACGCCACAGTGGTGATTGGTTACTCTCATGCGCCACTCAGAAGTAGAGTATGGCTAGACAGTAGACCTGTCTCTGTACATTGTCTTATACCTGGCCCTAAAAGTCAATATGAATACAATTTTTTCCATTCCCTAACTATCAGAAGGAAAGCAGGTCTGGGCTATGAAGTTGTAGCCTACCTCTATTCTAATATAAACCTGGTTAAAAAGGGACTTTAATATTTAATTGCATTCATATAGAGCTATTGAGAAGTGCTCAAAGTGTTGTCATCAGGGGAAGAGGCAAAACCATTCAATTGTACTTTTATAACCTCTTAGTATCGTTTAGTGATTTATAACACTGACTGGATAGTGAAGTCTGAGTCCAATTCTGCTGCATGATGCAGATTGGCTAGAACCCAGTGTAGGGGGGCACAGAGAGACTGCAGCTTATCAGTGGGCTTTAGCTGTGCCACACCCTGAGAGAGAAGAGGGGGAGAAGAGAGATAGAGGGGATGGTGGAAGAGAGAAAGAAAGAGGGGGGCTTCTATCATATGTCTGAAACGACAGTTTTCAAACTTAGCTCTAGAAAAAATGTGGAAAGAAGAATCAAATACTTAAATGTGAAAAACTTAATAGAGAGAACTGTATTATAGATTCATACAGGTCCTTTTATTTCAGTGATATCATTATTAACACCATTGACTACATAATGTTGAATATTGTAACATTTCAGACATTTACTTTGTAAAAAATAATGTTGACTTGTCCTAAATACTCTTTTGGAATATGAAATTAGTATTATTCATTAATACATTAGACCGACAGTACTTACAGTGAGGGAAAAAAGTATTTGATCCCCTGCTGATTTTGACAAAGGACTGATCAGTCTATCATTTTAATGGTAGGTTTATTTGAACAGTGAGAGACAAAATAACAACAAAAAAATCCAGAAAAACGCATGTCAAAAATGTTATAAATTGATTTGCATTTTAATGAGGGAAATAAGTATTTGACCCCCTCTCAATCAGAAAGATTTCTGGCTCCCAGGTGTCTTTTATACAGGTAACGAGCTGAGATTAGGAGCACACTCTTAAAGGGAGTGCTCCTAATCTCAGCTTGTTACCTGTATAAAAGACACCTGTCCACAGAAGCAATAAATCAATCAGATTCCAAACTCTCCACCATGGCCAAGACCAAAGAGCTCTCCAAGGATGTCAGGGACAAGATTGTAGACCTACACAAGGCTGGAATGGGCTACAAGACCATCGCCAAGCAGCTTGGTGAGAAGGTGACAACAGTTGGTGCGATTATTCGCAAATGGAAGAAACACAAAATAACTGTCAATCTCCCTCGGCCTGGGGCTCCATGCAAGATCTCACCTCGTGGAGTTGCAATGATCATGAGAACGGTGAGGAATCAGCCCAGAACTACACGGGAGGATCTTGTCAATGATCTCAAGGCAGCTGGGACCATAGTCACCAAGAAAACAATTGGTAACACACTACGCCGTGAAGGACTGAAATCCTGCAGCACCCGCAAGGTCCCCCTGCTCAAGAAAGCACATATATATGCCCGTCTGAAGTTTGCCAATGAACATCTGAATGATTCAGAGGAGAACTGGGTGAAAGTGTTGTGGTCAGATGAGACCAAAATGGAGCTCTTTGGCATCAACTCAACTCGCCGTGTTTGGAGGAGGAGGAATGCTGCCTATGACCCCAAGAACACCATCCCCACCGTCAAACATGGAGGTGGAAACATTATGCTTTGGGGGTGTTTTTCTGCTAAGGGGACAGGACAACTTCACCGCATCAAAGGGACGATGGACGGGCCCATGTACCGTCAAATCTTGGGTGAGAACCTCCTTCCCTCAGCCAGGGCATTGAAAATGGGTCGTGGATGGGTATTCCAGCACGACAATGACCCAAAACACACGGCCAAGGCAACAAAGGAGTGGCTCAAGAAGAAGCACATTAAGGTCCTGGAGTGGCCTAGCCAGTCTCCAGACCTTAATCCCATAGAAAATCTGTGGAGGGAGCTGAAGGTTCGAGTTGCCAAACGCCAGCCTCGAAACCTTAATGACTTGGAGAAGATCTGCAAAGAGGAGTGGGACAAAATCCCTCCTGAGATGTGTGCAAACCTGGTGGCCAACTACAAGAAACTTCTGACCTCTGTGATTGCCAACAAGGGTTTTGCCACCAAGTACTAAGTCATGTTTTGCAGAGGGGTCAAATACTTATTTCCGTCATTAAAATGCAAATCAATTTATAACATTTTTGACATGCGTTTTTCTGGATTTTTGTTGTTGTTATTCTGTCTCTCACTGTTCAAATAAACCTACCATTAAAATTATAGACTGATCATTTCTTTGTCAGTGGACAAACGTACAAAATCAGCAGGGGATCAAATACTTTTTTCCCTCACTGTAAGTGGTTTTGGCAGAAAGTGGATTTTTATTGTTTGTGTATAATGTGTACATATACATTTATATATAGTATGTAAACAGTACGCCTACTGTTACGATCCTGTGACTGATTTGCCAAAGGGTGGCACTTTAAGAACAAAAATGTTCTTTGGCAGTTTTGATTTTGATTTAGAAGATTTTAAGCCACAAGTGAAAGAGAATGTGAATCAAACTAGTCTCCTGCGTTTCATCTCATTGAAATATCTTCGGTTAAAGTGAAGTTAACCTTGGAAGAAAGCTCTTTGTTTTATAAAATTAAACCTAGCTATTCGTGGGACAAACTAAACTGGTCTTAGATCAGTGTATTGGCAACTTCATCCTACTTATTGCATTGTCATATACTCCCCACCAGAGAGTGCTAGAGCAACCCAGAAGCCTCAGTGGTATTACTGTACAAAAAGCCTGTGTACAGGAAAACACTGTTAATATTGGTAATAATACGGCGAATTGACCTTGTTACACAACAGCAGCTGTCTTCCCATGTTTCCCCTCAGAGCAGCAATGAGCAAAGTGTCTCAGTCAATTCTCAGTACTGACCTCCAGAATGACGCACAGTCCAGCCTCCTCACAACAGGCTGGTGCTAGTTCTACTATTTGCTTTTCTTCTTCACTCTGGCAGATGTTTCTGGTTGGTCTCTGGGGTTGTTTACATGAACCCAGATGTAGGCTACAGGTCTGTGATTTCTACATTCCAATGGGCACACACACACCTCCAAGAGCAAACAATTATTGGACCAAAACTAAAGTGTGTGTGTGTCTGCGTATCAGTCTGTCTTTCTTTCTGTGAATGTCAGTGTAGCAGCGACAAACTGTGTGTAACACTGAATGTGTGTGTGTGTCTCCTCAGCCCGGGGTGTGGCAGCGGCAGGCTGTGTGTCGGGGGTCACAGCAGGGGGTTGCTGATTGGTCCGTGGCGTAGTCGGCCGTGGACACTGATTGGTCAGTGGCAATGTCATAGAGCAGCGCCTCCCTCCACTTCCTCACCCTCTCATCCACCTCCCTGTACTCCTCTGTGGTCGGGTCCAGGGCTGTCTCCTCGCCCTCGTCCTCAGACAGGTCAAATATCAGAGGGGGGTCGTGGAGCTCCTGCCTCCCTGTAGACCCCCCACATGCCTCAGCCGCACCTGTAGGGGCAACATATACTACAGTAAACTAAACTAAACTATCAATACTACTATTTCACTAAACTATCAATACTACAGTAGACCAATCAAATCTCAGTCAGTCACTCACTACACCTGACCAAGCATACCAATGGAGTTTATCCAGATCCCTTTTAGGCGTTAATTTAGCGGCTGTTTTACCCGTGATGTAGAAGGCCTTGTGGCGCTCCAGTCTGACAGTCTGCAGGTCCCCATACTTCCCTGCAGCGCCACTGTTGGGGTGGAAGAGGAACTGCAGGTAGGGAGAGGAAGACAGATGAGAGAGATTCGTTACAGAAATCCATCTGATCATATTCCTGTTTCAGAGAAGTTCTACAACACTACAATTGTGTTATGACTAGCTCAGTGGGTCATACCTCATTTCCTGTTTCTTTGCCGTGTAGGAGGACGTCTGTGGCGTCGATACCGTCATAGCGTCTGTCTGATGGGGGGTTCACTCCAGCCAGGGAGAGGAGGGTGGGGAAGATATCCAGACCACTGGGAGAATGGAGAGGGGAGAGGGAGGGAGATGAGAAGAAAGAGGGGGTCAAGTTTGCACGAATAACACAAAAGTGTAACATATTCATCCATCTATCTTGGTAAATATACCTTAGCAGTTATTTTAATATAATGTACACCTGTGTTTTGTATCAGAGCTGGGTGTAGCTTCAGATATATCTGTACTGTAATGACCATACCTGAGCAGGGCAGAGCTGGTGCTGTTGGCTGGTACTCTGCCAGGCCAGTAGCACACTGTGGGTACCCTGTGCCCCCCCTCCCAAGTGGTCCGCTTGGCAGAGCCCCCACCTGACAGACAGGTAACAGACCGATACATGGACCATTGATGTCAATATCAATAAGGTTAATCAATTATTTCAGTGCTGACCCAGGAAGTACTTACCTCTGCTGGTCTGCCACTTCCCCTGGAATGGACCCACACTTCCTGCATACTGGCACTTTTGCTCCCAGGGTCCATTATCACCTGGAGAAAAACACATGAAAAATACAGTGATGTTCAATGATCCAAATGGAAACATGATCGCTGGTAGTCAGTGATCACTCACCAGTGAACCAGATCAGAGTGTTCTCCTTGTCTAAGGCATCAGAGGCATTCTTTATTGCCCCCACCAGACCGTCCATCTCCCGCAGACTGGCAGTGTACACACCTCCCTCTGAGGGGTGAGGGGCAGGGGGTAGGGGGGCGTGGGACGGAGGGAAAAGGGGGACGTGCATGTGTGCCAGAGCTACATAGAGCAGAAAAGGTTGTCCCCGTTCCCTATAAAGAAACATGACATCATGATATTGATAACATAAAATAAACATATTTAAACATTTGTGCACTGAGAAGAAAGGTATATTTGAGCTACGAGTATCGTAGGCTACTGTATATGCCTATAGATAGCCACTTTACTTGCTAGAGAAAGGGCATGCTCTTCTCTTTGGCAGAGTGAGAGTGTATTAAGCCGTCACGAGACCTGATACTGTAAGCGATGGGCACTTCAAACAGGTGTGATATAAAATGAGAGAGGGTCAGACTTACAGTATATGGTTCAGCCCAAATAACCCCCTCTTAACACACATGTCTTACTGTCTAGGCAGCTATGCTCTGACATGAGAGAATGGAACACCATCTTTGCTTTTGGAATCAGAATGTTGGCACGGACAGATTGTGAAATGGGGTTCTGAAAATAAACAGCACGTGCACTAACAAAAACATGTTGACATTTCTGTTCTAACAATCGGGGCTACATTCGTTCAGAAATATGTTCCCTTTGCACTAACCTGTAAACATATCACACCATGACCAACATACAACTGTCTCACTGAGTATGTAGGCTATATCAACAGCAGCAACCCAAGTTACAGTACTGTATATGAGGGTTGTGGTCTATTAAATAGCTGTATCTTTTTTCCTGTCACATTTAGGTTTTTATGGGCATATTTTACCTGGCTGTGTGTATGACATTCAGTGCAGTGGAGGTGTATCGCTGTGTTAGCCTCCACAGGTCCAGAGGCTGCTCTACGATGGTCCCGTTCTCAAACAGAGGCAGAGCCACCTTGGTGTAACAGCTGCTGTAGCCACTCCTCTTCAATCTGGTTAAGTAGACGACCCACATCTTCAGCATTAGGAGAATACAGAGTTCTGACTAGGGCTGTTACGGTGACCGTATTACCGCCACACCAGCGGTCAAGAGTCATGAAGGCAGTCAAATTCCACGTGACCGTTTAGTGGAACATTCCCGCTAATAGCCTACTGCAGTGTGTGCATAGCTGCCTTCATAATGTGAAGAAATAGCCTAATAGTTTATCAACATTTTAAGCTAAACGTTCTGACCTGTTGCATCAGCCTCATTGCGTAAAACATGTTTTTTGATGCTAGAGGTTGTATTAATTTGGGATCTAACGCATCCCACAGCTGTCCCAGACTATGTTTGGAATATTTATTTCTCGCACAGAATAGAATAGGTCAACTTTTGTACTATAGGGGATAATAGATTGACATAGGCTAGTGCTTTTGCTGTTCGTTAGGCCTACTCATCTTGTTGGCTGACGAAAAGTAAATGTCGACAGTTCTTCCAATATCTTCAATATGCGCCTCGGAATTGGATAAGGACGCGCGCAGTTGCATCCCCGATGTGTCTGTCTTCACTTGTAGCCATGTGAGTGAGAGGTGCTTCGGAGCACGCAGCACACAGGGAGAAGGGAATTAAAATGATTATATTCAGCCCAAGGGCATAACGGCCACTGGCCGCAAAATGCTGGATTTTTTTAGGGGGCATTACAGCCACACAAAGGGGATGCCTGTGGGAAATTCAATGCATTATCAAGTGCTTGTCAAATTGTGAATGAGAGGCTGATGAAGTGTGTACAGCCTGCGCAAAAAACTAAGCAGAACACAATGCACTCCCTCAAATTGTTTGGAGAAAATATCCTTTCTATTTTTTTCAGCTTTGTTAAATTGTATTCTTCATGCTATAAAATACTATAAAATAATCCCATGGAATTCTAGGCAAATCTTGTCTGCTAAATGAGCTAGTGTAGCCCACAGCCATATGGCATAGCCAGATCAGGACCTAACATAAGGACAACTCAGAGTATGCTATTCTGTTCTTCTGAAATAGACTACATTTTCTTCATATCATGTTTCTTTAGACCTGTCTACAAATAAATAATGGATTTATTGTAAAGGTGTAGGCTATATTACATGGATTTATTAGACTTTTTAAAATGTAGATGTTCCAAAGGTCTGCATCAGTGGCTTGTATGCTATGTGTGGAAGCCAGGAGATGCTAAATGTATGATTCATGCAGTCAAAATTATAATGCTGGATCTCAAATTAGGATCCGGCCCAGTCTATATAAACTCATCTGTCTATGAGAGCAAACAAAGACCTCTGTGTGTTACAGGAGGGGGTTGCAGTTCCGGAGCGACCCACTAGATGTCATCCTCCGACAACCTTAGGCACCTCCTCACTCACAGTCTGGACTAATCATTATCTTATTGGTGTCACGTGTGTCTACCTGTTCACCTGTGTATTTATGCCCTCACTTCCCTGTGTTCCCTTGCTCTGTTTTTTCTGCTAGTTCTCGATGCCAAACAGTACAAATCAGTGTCTGATCACGAGACGTATGTACAGGTACTTGAGAAGTGTTCTCCCTGTTTCATTGTTGTTGTCAGTCATAGTTAGTATTTCATATGTTTGCTGTCAGCCTGTTTTTGGAGACCAATTTGCTCCTCCTTTATTTTTTCGTGACAAGTCCGTTATTTTGTATCCTGGTGTTGAGACCACCAGTAAAGATCCTTGTTTCACCATCTTTGCCTACTGCCTACTGTCTATCCTGCACCGCACCTGGGTCACACCTCACACCAACCCTTACAGAAAACAGAGCCAATATGGACCCAGTGGAGGCAGCACAGTGTCGCAGCGCATTGGCAACGCAGGGAGCTATGCTGACCCAGCACGACCGCCGCCTGCAGCAGATCACAGAGAATCTCCGCCAGCTGACGATTGCCGTGCAGAACCGGGTGGACACCCGACCAGCCCCGGCAGCCGGCGGAGCGGAAGCCGCGGCAGCGGCGTATCCAGTCTCGCCTACGACATCGCGGGAACCCCGCCTACCACCTCCGGAGAGGTACGACGGACGTCCAGAGGGCTGCAGGGAATTCCTCACCCAGTGTTCCCTGGTATTCAGCCTACAACCCTCCTCCTTCCCGACGAAGCAGGGCCGGGTGGCCTACATTATCACTCTGTTGACGGGTCGGGCCCTTTCCTGGGCTACCATGGAGTGGGAGAGCCAAATTCCGGCATGCTCCGACTCCTACCATATCACCCGGGAGCTACGCAAGGTGTTCGACACTTCTCGGGTGGTGTCAGGGCACGAGGCCGGGAGGCGGCTCACGGCCTGTTGGCAGAGTGACCGTTCGGTGGCGGACTACTCCGCGGAGTTCCGGACCGGGGCTCGAAAGGCAGGATGGTAGGAGGCCGCCCTGGTCTTCCTTTACGCGCAGGGGCTATCGGAGGGGATGGAGGACGAACTCTCCTTCAGGGAGCTGCCTAAGCGACTGGATGGCCTCGTTGACCTCTCAGTGTGGGTAGACAATCGGCGTCGTGAGAGTGCGCACGAGAGAGGGATGACGCAATGTGCACTTGTCCAGGATGGAGAAGCAGAGACGTCTGTGCCAGGGACGTTGCCTGTACTGCGGCCAGGCAGGTTACCACTGCGACTCATGCCCGGAGAAGCCGGGAAACGGGAGGGCTCGCTAATATCGGGAGGGGTGCTAGCGAGCTGGAATCGAAACCCCAACCCCAGAGACTCCCGGACTTTCCTCCCCGTTAGGGTTCAGTGGGCCCGCGCTGCGCGTCGGGCGCATGCACTGGTGGATTCGGGGGCCGTGGGAAACCTGATGGACACGGGGCTGGCCCAAGGGTGGAGCCCCGGATAGACTGGTCCACGGGGCGGCTCATCCTGGAAGGAGGCGCCGCCTCCATCCTGTTCCGGTCTCCACCGACCACTCATCAGCCCAAACCACTGTCATCCTCCAACAACTTTAGGCACCTCCTCACTCACAGTCTGGACTAATCATTATCTTATTGGTGTCACCTGTGTCTACCTGTTCACCTGTGTATTTATGCCCTCACTTCCCTGTGTTCCCTTGCTCTGTTTTTTCTGCTAGTTCTCGATGCCAAACAGTACAAATCAGTGTCTGATCACGAGACGTATGTACAGGTACTTGAGAAGTGTTCTCCCTGTTTCATTGTTGTTTTCAGTCATAGTTAGTATTTCGTATGTTTGCTGTCAGCTTGTTTTTGGAGACCAATTTGCTCCTCCTTTATTTTTTCATGACAAGTCTGTTATTTTGTATCCTGGTGATGGGACCACCAGTAAAGATCCTTGTTTCACCATCTCTGCCTACTGCCTACTGTCTATCCTGCACTGCACCTGGGTCACACCTCACACCAACCCTTACATCTGTGTATGTTTGTATACAGAGTTACCTATGAGCATACAACCCCCACCTGTTGTGTAGTATCTGTGGTCCAGGGTCACAGGGAGGGCAGGAGGGCAGGTCGTAACCAGGCAGGTCTGTACAACCCATATCATTACTGTAGGGGATCCCCAGGTAGTAGTCAAAACCTAACCACAGAAAGCAATAAGACACTCTCATTGTTTTAGACCTCAAATTCACTGTAACGTCTGCACTACTGTGGCTTCATGCAGATAGATATAGATATAGCAGATATAATATGTCAACCATTTAACTCAAGAACTCAATGCCTCTTACCTCTGTTGGTGGGACTGTATGGACCATTGTGCCCTAGATGCCATTTACCTGCACTTACAACAGAGAAAAGACAACGGGTTATAACATAATAAAATAGAATAGAACAGAACAGGACAGAATAGAACAGAACATAATACAATATATAATAAAATAGAATAGAAGTGGTCTCTTTGCCTCTCACCGATCATGGCTGTGTAGTATCCATCCTGGTGCAGTATCTCAGCCAGGGTGGTCTCAGAGAGGGGTAGCCCCCCCATGGACCCCACAGCAAAGTTGTGTGTGACCCCGTTCCTCAGGCCGTGTCGGCCTGTGAGGAGAGCAGCGCGGGACGGGGAGCAGGTGGAGGCTGGGGAGTGGAAGTCTGTCAACCTGGAGGATGGATACAGATGAGAGGGCTTATGGAGGACAAAATGGGTTTTGAACAAATACGGTGCAGGTCACCAACCCTGGTTCTGGACTAGAGAGTTACAGGGTGTGCAAATACTTGTTACAAGACATAAGTAAGACATGTGTAGCTCATGACTCAATAAAGGTATTTGACACCAGGACTGGAACTAAAGCCTCCACCTCCTGTAGCAGTTATCCATGACACCTGTGAGAAAAAGCTTACTTTAAGTTAGGCTAGTTGGTTAGTGAACAGGCTAACAAGAGCTGTACCTCATTCCTTGCTGGGCCATCAGGTCCAGATGAGGGGTTTGGCTTGACCTCTGACCTGCCTGCTGGTTGGCTCCCAGGTCTCCCCATCCAATATCATCCGCCAGAATGATGATGAAGTTGGGTCTCCTGGTGCGGGTCCTGTCCCCATCTTCATTCTGGCTCAATGTGTGGAACAGTAGCCCACAGAGCAGGGTCCCAGATAATAGGAGCAGGAAGACACTCCCTGCCATTCTGGTTCAAGACCTGGGAGAGTGACAGAGTAAGACAAGGCAAAGAACTGATCAAACCTAAGGTCCCAAGAGACACTTTTATGGCAGCTTTGGTTTGAATAATGTATTATTAATTATTATAATGATCATGGTCAACTGCAAAAACAGCACAGGACTCAGGCCCACTGTTAGACTGCTGCACTGCACACAGACAGTTATTAGGTGCAGGGGGCTGCAGTAGACCGATACAGGACAGCGTTGACTGACTGTAACTCGATCCCCTTAACGCCTGTGTTTCGTGTGTGAGAGAGAGGGAGAGAGAGAGAGAGAGAGAGAGAGAGAGAGAGAGAGAGAGAGAGTGCCGCAGTAAGGTTGTCACTGGTTTCACCGGTCATAAACTGAACAGCACACAGGATTACTACATTTTTCCTCTAAAACTGAAAAACAGGTAAGAGTTATGCAATACTAATTTTACTATCTTGAAGTAAATGTTCTGTATCTGACTGAGAAGTATCGATTGAAAAGGAGCAACAAGTGAGCTGGCAAAGAGTCAACCTACAGTTATCTACAATTCACGTTGCCAACAGCATGAATAAGACCTGTACTATGGGTAGTTCAATGCAGTCCTTCACAAACTCGTGCTACCTTTAAATTCAAGTTGAGGGCTTTCCTCTCCTCAGCTCTCCTCTCCTTAATTTGTCAAAATATTGGATAAGTGGAAGCAATATGGGAAAGACCCACCCAAGAGATTTGCTTTCACCGGTGGTTCTTCGAGATCAGTCCACTAAAGGTGAGGAATAAGGCTAGGAGCCTAAAGTTCTGTTCTCATTATAACAATTATTTGGACAGTTCCAAATTAGTGAGATTTTTCAGTTAGGGAGTGAACGTTATTTATAATAAGGTTCACATGGAGAAAATCGGACCTCTCTGAACTGAAAATGGATGGCCCTCCCTTCAGCAAAATATAGTTTACCTAAACCCTATCGGAACGCTAAAAAACAAAGAGAAAAACCAAGAAGAAGACCCTCTCCTATACCCAAAATAATAATGAAAACAAAGTGGATAGCGTTTACCCGCACTTCTTGGAGAGACCAGAAAGAGCCTTAGATATGCCGTTTTAGAAGCTGTTCTTCGTCCTGTAGCCTACATGGCACAGCCGGAATTTTGATAGCACATAGGGCTGCGGATCAGAAGGTTGTGGGTTCGCAGACCACCGTGGACATGAGTAGGGGTGGAAAGATATCCTTTATAGTAAAAGCATTGCATGAATCGATCATCGTATTTGCAGGTCCGAGAGAAAATAGCCGTTTATAAACATTACATGCAATTCTACTTAATTTTATATATTAGAGAAATATATTTTTTTAACCACACAAATTACCGAAATTACAGGCTAAGAATCGACAGAGAAATAGGCCTATGTGTTCATCTTATCATATTTCTCCAATGCCAAATCAGTGTGTCTTGTTTGCAACGAAACTGTCCCTTTGCAAATAATTCAATCTGAGACGTCATTAGGAATCTGAGCATTGTACTTTCAAAAGTTAGGCCTACCTTTCTAACCCAGACAGAGTAGGCCTACCGACGCAGAAAAGTGTCAGCTTTAACCGCTGGCTACTCTTCTTCCGTGGCATTACCCAACAAGCGAAGGTCACAACTGTTTCCCTAAAAGCTGTCTGGGTTTAAACATCTTCTATTGTACAGAAAGTGAATAGCTTAATCAATTGATAGTGACAGAATTAGATTACTTCCCAAGCAAAGTCAGCCTCTGAAGGTCAACGAAACGAAACAATGATATCCCCATATGCATCTGAGTCACGTTTTCCCCGGGTATTTTACAGCTTGTTTCTAGCATAAAGCATCACGGACCAAAGCGCTATTATAGATCACTTTATGTAATCGGATACATTTGATTTTCTTCAAAATCATTTGCCATTTTCTTTAATAAAAGGTAGGCATGTGGCATATCCTCTCATACCCCTCAATTCGAGTCTTAGTTTTAATTTAACAGCCCTTCACTGACACAGGCTATTTAAAGATTGCATGGTGTGTGGAAGAATTGACAGACAAATCTACGGATATAGCAGCCTATAGCCTAAACATGTAGGCCTACCTCTTATTTCTTAAATAGGAATTATTTTTATTTTTATTTTACCTTAATTTACCTAGGCAAGTCAGTTAAGAACAAATTCTTATTTACACCGGCCAAACCCGGACGACGCTGGGCCAATTGTGCGCCGCCCTATGGGCCTCCCAATGGGCCTCCCAATCACCGCCGGTTGTGATACAGCCTGGAATCGAACCAGGGGCAAGCACTGAGATGCAGTGCCTTAGACCGGCTCCAACACAAATAACTCTTGTTGTTATTAAAGTCTAATTAAAATGAAGATGGTTGAATTGAATTATGTCTAAGCCTACTCTCAGCACCATGAGCTGTCCATTTCTGATTGATTATGCCACGGCTACAAGTTTCAACCCCACAATGTAAATTCCTCGAATCCGGCTGTTGTGAGGTCAATAACTCTGATAAGTACACCATGGGCAAGAAACATATTGTTTTTAATAAAATCAATTAGGCTATAGTAGTAGCAAGCAATCAAAGTTGACCTCCGGTCCTCCTTCTCATCTTCTTCGTGCTCTCCTTCTCAAACCGAACAGAGCATAGGCTATAGCAGGGTTCCCCAACTGGCGGACCGTGGGCCGAATTTGCCCCGCTGGTGGTTTTATTTGCCCCCCTCCTCCATGTTTTCGGAGAAAAAATAATCATATATATATATATATAGCCTATATATATACAGTACCAGTCAAAAGTTTGGACACACCTACTCATTCAAGGGTTTTTCTTTATTTTTACTATTTTCTACATTGTAGAATAATAGTGAACACATCAAAACTATGAAATAACACATATGGAATCATGTAGTAACCAAAAAAGTGTTAAACAAATCAAAATAGATTTGAGATTAACCCTTGAATGAGTAGGTGCGTCCAAACCTTTGACTGGTACTGTATATAATTTTTCTACTCTATATATATAAATATATATATATTTTTTGCATTTCATTGTTGGACATGTAAAAATTTAAAAATACCAGGAAATCAGCTCCAAGTAATTTTAATTTGGGAAATCTGTTCCCAAGTAGTTCTATGCATATTAAAGAGACACATGATCATATACAAATGTAAGCAAGGTTTGAAATTATTATGTTTTAGTCAAATATTATATATGTTTGGGCTTCTTGCAGTCAATTTGCAGTCTACAAATTATTTATAATTATGTTCTGGACCCCCGACCATCCGCTCAATAATAAATCGGCCCGCAGCTGAATCTAGTTGATGATCCCTGGGCTGTAGGCTAGTCCGCACGCAAGATAGTGAATTTTTTGGACTAGACCTAATCAAAAATTATTTTGACTCTCCTCGTGAACTGCCACTTAGCCCTACACAGTATTAGTTAAGCAGCACACAAAACAGTTTTTGCTCAGCAAGAGCAGAGCAGGCCTGGACTCAGGGTTTGAATATCCATTGCTGTGTGTAATGCTGCCTAGTTTTATTTACACCATCCCAGCAGCTATCTTACTAATATAACTTTGCTCTGTGCATCTCCGAGCATGCACTTTGTAGCCTATAGCCTATGTATCGTTTGATTGAGAACACACTAAACAGCCTTTAGTCGCTATTGATATTGAGCACCCAGCAGAGAATCAGAGATGAGGGGCAGCATCGGGCACACATCGATATGTAGCCTAATAAGAAACTCCTTCTAAAACACTGAGAAATATTGAAATGTAATTAATTACAAATTACATGACCCTTCCCCTGGACTAGATTTAAAGAATACTAACCCCTCCCCTTGACTGAAATTGAAGAAGCATGACCCTCCCCCATTTTCCTACTGCAAAAACAGGTTTTTCAAGAGGCCCAATAATCACCTCTGTAGCCTAGTTATAATGTAATAATAGTTTTCATAGTGGTCTAACATTAATTACTGATTAAAATACTTGGGCAGCTTATAGCTTACAGCTTATAGCCAAATCGGTTAGTTGCAAAATATCTGAAGGCTCTAGAAGGCCCTAGAATGTAAGAGAACATGATGCCATGGGCTAAGAAAAGTAAAGTAGTATTGGTGTTATTCTTTAGGCTAAGTCAAGTATATAGAGGGCTTAACTTTATCTGCTGTTTGTCTTTCCTTTGACCACCTTTGGCTGAAGGGGAGATAACATGTTGGCCCATTAAACATTGGTGTGGGTCGACCCACACAGATCTATGCACACACACTTTTGGTTAAAAGACCGACAAGACAGACAAGTCAGAGAAGATAAGACAGCACTGCAGCATAGGTTAAGACCGTTGGGATGGATGAGTTGCCAATGACATAGGCTATTCACCAATGACATCAAGGGATGGCATTGCTCATTAATTCATTGAGAAAAGGCTAACTGGATATGTGGAGCGTCAATAAAGGCGGTGAGTGAAACAGGTTTATGTGTGTGTGAATACATTATTGTTGTGTAATTGAAGGTGTGCTAAATAGCACTGCAACATTGATTAGGATCCTTGATACAAAGTAACTGTTGCGTTGATATAGCAGGCAGCGTGTCCTGAAAAGCTACATTGATTCCAATGTAAGCAGCAACAACAAGTAGCAACAACTTTCATCATAACATTGCCTGAAACGAGAATAGTTAGCAAGTTACAACTATGTACCTAACATATGAAATTGATAAAGGATACTTTGTATTGAGATTTTGCCACATAATCCACAGGTAACTAACTATAAATCAGTGATTAATTTACCGCTTTACAAAGAAGTCTTGCTTGCACAGTTATTGCAGACTCGAAGAACGTGCACGTTCACGCCAACAATGCGCGTTCACATATACCCACAGTTACCAAAGAGGGTTAGCTACAGTGGGGAGAGGGACTGTCTCAGAAAGTCACACGTAAACTGCTCTTCATAAATCAGCTAATCCTAGCCTATATATGTCAAACTTTTACAATATTAATATTAATATATTAACCTTATACATAATAATAACATTTGCATTATTAACTATGTATTTATTTTCTTCCCAATCACAAGCATAGTTTACTTTACTTTTCTATGAACTTCCAGATACCTTTTCTAAAAGTTCTCTATTGCCCCCTTCCCTACAGCATCCCCTGCTCCAACCATGACAGTGTGGGGGTCCAGAGTAAAGCGCTACATGGGGCCTAACGTCTACACGGCTCCACCAGACGGCGGCTGGGGCTGGGTGGTGGCGGTCTCCTTCTTCCTGGTGGAAGTGTTCACCTACGGAGTCATCAAGAGCTTTGGCATCTTCCTCCAGGACCTGATGGGGGAGTTCGGGGAGAGCAACAGCCGAGTCTCTTGGATCATCTCCATCTGCGTCTTCACTTTGAGCTTCACTGGTGAGACTGGGGATGGGGGATGAGAGGGTCTAGGGCAGGGGTTCTTAAACTTTTTCAGCTGAAGACCCAAATGAGGAATTGACTGTCCTCCCGTGAGCCAAATGGTTCTCCAAATTAAGAAGAAATAGTGTGTGATTATAGATGTATTCTCATAACTTGCGACCCACCTCTCACATGCCCAGGGCCCACTTTGGGTCCAGACCCATAGTTTAAGAAACCCTAGTCTAGGGCAATTCTGGTTCTGAAGAGCTGTTGAGTGTGAAGGCTTGGGTTACTGGCCCAGACTGCATGACCTCATAATAATGTTTTTAGGGCGATATTAACTGAAAAAGTTCAGATGCTCTATAGTGTGCCATATCTTAGTGCTAACAAGAGATACCTATCCCCTCTCTCCTCACAGCTCCTCTTGCTTCTGTAATGACCAACCGATTTGGGTTCCGGCCAGTTGTTATGATTGGTGGACTCCTCGTCTCCATAGGAACCATCGCCAGTGGCTTCACCAACTCCATCAACGAGATGTACATCACCATCGGACTCGTTGCAGGTATGACAAACAAACACACACACACACGATTGACCATCACAACTGTCACAGTGGCACCAGTGTTGTCACCAGTGTATGTGCGTGTGTGTCCTCTCCCCTCCACAGGTCTGGGGTACAGTCTGACCTTCCTGCCCACCGTCACCCTCCTGTCTCAGTACTTCTCCCAGCGACGCTCCCTGGTCACAGCTGTTGCCTCCACGGGAGAGTCCATCTCTGTGTTCGCCCTCGCCCCAGGTAAGAGGTCACAGGGGGACTAAAAACTTCTGCTTACTAGCAAAGTTTCTCTTTAAAAAAGGCAATGTTTCAGTTTACCAACCTTCCCATTACCTTAATCTCACTTTTCTCAATTGCTTTTTCTTTTCAAATTAACCCACATTTAATTTTAGGTTGGATTGCAAACCCTGACCACTATAGTCTTGTATTTAAAATACTCTCCTCTCTGTTCTCCCCCCTCTGCTCCTCAGCGTTCTCTGCTCTGAGGGACTGTATCGGCTGGCGTTACACCCTGGTGGTGATCGGAGCTCTGCAGGGCATCATCATCATCTGTGGTGTTTTGCTAAGACCCATCATCATCAGACCTGGACCAGCCACGGAAACAGAGACAGGTGGACTGGCTGACAAAGAGCTGAAGGCTCTGGATACTCTGAACACACAGGAGGAGTCCTACAGTAAGGAGAGATTGTACACTAAGGACAGTTCATATGCTAAGGATAGCTCTTACACACCGCAGAGTTCCTACTTTCAGGATAACAAGCTGACTCATTGTTACTCCCTGAGCTCTGGAGAGTCTGAGGACTCTGGGGTCCAGTCCCTCCATCACCAGGTCCTGGACGATGGTAGCAAGGCAGGGGAGGATATTCCTCTGAAGGGGAAAGAGGAGAAGGGAGAAAAGGGGGAAAAAGAGGGAAGAGAGAAGAAGGAGGCGTCTTCACAGCGGTGCTTAGGAAGCAAGAAGGAGATGGAGAAGGACGAGGAGCAGACACAGACAGTATCCGCCCAGAAGCACAAACTCCTTGACTTCTCTGTGCTGAGAGAAGGCAGCTTCATTTGCTACGCTCTCTTCGGCCTCTTCGCCACTTTGGGTTTCTTCGCCCCTCAGCTCTACATCATCGAGCTGAGCGTGAGCCGCGGCGTGGAGCGCGACCGCGCCGCCTACATGCTTTCCACCATGGCCATTGCTGAGATCTTCGGCCGCCTCTCCATTGGTTGGGTGCTAGGCAGGAAGCTGTTTAGAGGCAGGAAGCCCCTGGTGCTGCTGGGATGTGTAGTCCTGCTGTGCCTGGTGCTGGTGGCCTTTACCCTGGTGTGGGAGTTCTGGGGCCTGGCGATGTGTTGTGGGTTCTATGGTTTTTTTATGGGCACTGTGTCATCAACGCATATACCCATGCTGGCAGAGAAAGATGTGGTGGGCATAGAGAGGATGTCGTCAGCCGTGGGGGTCTATGTGTTTATACAGAGCTTTGCTGGGCTGGCCGGACCACCTCTTGGAGGTAAGTGATGCATTCAGGTCTCACATTTATTCACAGCTCTCTGTCATGTCATGTCTCTTTTGCTCTCTCTCTCTCACTGATGATAGATTTACCATCAGTTTTATTTTCATTATCATCAAAGGAAATAACTTGATTCATTTGTGCATAATTTTAATGAATGATTTTGTTTAACTTGTAAAAATGTTATTGTACTCTCTCAGGTGTTTTGGTGGACCTGACTCTGAACTACGGCTCAGCGTTTTACTCCTGTGCGGTGGGTATGGGTCTGGGAGCTGTGTTCCTTGGACTGATACGACCAGCCAAGAGAGGCCTGCCCTGCTGCAGCAGGAGGGGGCATCAGAACTGCCCAGAACCCCTGCAGGTTGGGCTGGGGAACCCTGTACCTCAGCGAGAGGGGAAGGAGGCCTTGGACAGAAACAGTCTTCAGGACTTCCTAGAAGTCGACCTTGATTTGGACCAGAAACATGAAATCGTTACTGAAAAAGGCCAACCAATGACAATCTCTACTTGAAAAGACATCACACAGGTCAGAAGGAAACCCCATAAGAGTCTGAACTGAAGTCTCGGTTAAGCTAGTGCTGATAGAAACAAATCAGACAAATATGTGAATAAAGACTGCCACGGACGGATAAGGAATCTCTATCCTGTGATTTCAGATCTGGTTTCGGGAGTCTGGAGAGGTTTCATACCTCCAGTGACTCACACTGAACAATGGAAAGGGCATACTGAACATCCTGGATGTAAGGGGTGAAATTAACACTTCAACCTTTGTTGTAAACTGGGACAACAATGTTATTAAGGCTTCCATGAACATCAAAACACTGTGTTTTAGCTCATGGTACTGTTAGAGAGGATATACAAACAATATGTAGAGGCCGGTTATTAGATTTATGAAGTCAGCTGGGAAACCTTATTATGCTCACACTTGATTTCAACGTACAATTGTAAGGCAACCAGCTGCAATAAGATTGTGAGTTTGCTCTAAAAAAATTACATTAAAGTTGATTCAAAGTACAATTGTAGCTCATTTGGGCATAAAGCTGAACCAACATACATTCTCAAGTTGAATTGTATGTTCACTCAACTTTGAATTTTAGGTTGAGTGAACATACACTGAACAAAAATATAAACGCAACATGTAACGTGTTGGTCCCATGTTTCATGAGCTGAAATAAAAGATCCCCTACATTTTCCATACGCACAAAAAGCTTATTTCTCTAAAATGTTGTGCACAAGTTTGTTTACATCCCTGTTAGTGAGCATTTCTCCTTTGCCAAGATAATTCATCCACCTGACAGGTGTGGCATATCAAGAAGCTGATTAAACAGCATGATCATTACACAGGTGCACTTTGTGCTGGGAACAATAAAAGGCCACTCTAAAATGTTTTGTCACACAACACAATGCCACAGATGTCTCAAGTTTTGAGGGAGCGTGCAATTGGCATGCTGACTGCAGGAATGTCCACCAGAACTGTTGCCAGAGAATGTAATGTCAATTTCTCCACCATAAGCCGCCTCCAACTTCGTTTTAGAGAATTTGTCAGTACGTCCAACCGGCCTCACAACCGCAGACCATGTGTATGGCGTCATGTGGGCGAGCGGTTTGCTGATGTCAATGTTGTAAACAGAGTGCCCCATGGTGCCGGTGGGGTTATGGTATGGGCAGGCACAAGCTACAGACAACGAACACAATTGCATTTTATCGATGGCTATTTGAATGCACAGAGATACCGTGACGAGATCCTGAGGCCCATTGTCGTGCCATTCATCCGCCGTCATCACCTCATGTTTCAGTATGATAATGCACAGCCCCATGTCGCAAGGATCTGTATACAATTCCTGGAAGCTGAAAATGTCCCAGTTCTTCCATGGCCTGCATACTCACCAGACATGTCACCCATTGAGCATGTTTGGGATGCGCTGGATCGACGTGTGCGACAGCGTGTTCGAGTTCCAGCCAATATCCAATATAACTTTGCACAGCCATTGAAGAGGAGTGGGAGAACATTCAACAGGCCACAATCAACAGCCTGATCAACTCTACGCGAAGGAGATGTGTCGCGCTGATCAGGCAAATGGTTGTCACACCAGATACTGACTGGTTTTCTGATCCACATCCCCACATTTTTTTTAAGGTGTCTGTGACCAACAGATATACAGGTATTCCCAGTCATGTGAAATCCATAGATTAGGGCCTAATGAATTTATTTCAATTGACTGATTTCCTTATATAAACTGTAACTCAATAAAATATTTTATATTTTTGTTCAGTATACAATTCAACTTGAGAATGTATTCTATCCTATTTTCATATTTCCTAGTGTAAAATTAAACTATGACAATACATTACATATATCATAAGGCCTTTCTTTGAGGGCCTAATTACACACTAACGCAGTGGTCTGCAATTCACATTATGCTGACTTGCAAAGTGATGTGTAATTCCTATTGGAGGATAGCCAACAACTGGAACTTTTAATTGTGGTCCTCTGTAGCTCAATTGGTAGAGCATGGCGCTTGTAACGCCAGGGTAGTGGGTTCGATCCCCGGGACCACCCATACGTAAAAATGTATGCACACATGACTGTAAGTCGCTTTGGATAAAAGCGTCTGCTAAATGGCATATTATTTATTATTAATCACCTGCAACCTACATTGAGAATGACTTCCAGTATAAGGAAGATTGATTATTGAGACTACCTTAATCATATAAACTGTAACAGCCACCTCAGTAATGGGTCCAAAAATTCCACCACTAACAGATTGGATTAGTTTAGAAAATGTATGTTATTTATGTTTGTGTATCATAAGATGAATCAACCAATAAATGTACATGCAAAAACACAGTTATTGAAACAAACAATTCTGAAAATCAACCTGTAATAGAGCACGCTGTGAAATATGGTAATGATGGGCGTGGTTATGAGTGATTTTGAACGAACATACATTTGTAATTTTACTCAACAAGCTTGTTCAAATTCATCTCACTTCGAGGAGAGTTTGTTGATTCAACGTACAATTGTAAGGCAACCAGCTGCAATAGGATTGGAAGTTTGCTCAACATTTGGGCATATAGCTGAGCCAACATACCAAACATTCCAAAGGCAAACATGAATTTGACATTTTACTCAAAAAGCTTTTTAAAAATTCAGCTCACTTCGAGCAGAGTTTGTTGAGTGAATAAAGGGCGACTGCGCTTCCTGATTTGGCCTTATTTTAGATTTGGTTATTTAAGAAATGCTAGCGGCCATGACTGAAACGTGAGATGGTTTCGGGACATGATTTGACATGGGTGTCTTTTGTGATTGTGTTCACAGGTGGGAAGAGTTAGACAAATTATTTTGCCAATTAGCTTCAACCGGTTGGTGTGCGACCATAGCAATATTGGTTTGACTTTGGATAGCCTATCTCTGGGGATAGTTAAGGATTGTCAGTAAATTACACAATGCAAATGGGACAATATTTTCATGTTGCACATATTTTGTTGTCTCATGAAATGCTTTCAATATTTGTATATGAATTTCTACAATTTATAGTTGGTTTGAGGTTTTTAAGTCATTGAAATCTGGAGCTATTGACCTTTTAAAATATTGTCTCATGTACACTGTGTAATTTACTGATGGTCCCTAACTAGCTCCATAGGGATATCGAATGTCAAACCAAATTGACCATGGGCATTATGATCAGGTCACTTGCAGCTGCGCTCTGAATTGAAGATTACTTGGGACAGAGAAGAGTTTTGACTGGGCTGAGCGGGAGCTGTCCTCCCATAGGGGTGGGAGGGCCAAGAGACCAGAGGTGGCGGAACGGAGTGCTTGGGTTGGGATGTAGGGTTTGAGAATAGCCTGAAGGTAAGCAGGTGCAGTTCCCCTTGCTGCTCCATAGGCAAGTGTAACAGGTCAAAGAATTACAGATTTTTGCAACCGTTCATTTTCTATTTTTTATTTTATTTTGTGAGTTGATTTCACCAAAATATTGTATTGTTCAGCATTTCGTGTAGTTTACAGATATTGGGAGAGTTAGTTGTGTAAGTGCGCCCTCTAGAGTGTTGGTTTGGTTATATGCGGAGGGGTCTCATGCTTTTCTCAGTCTGCATTGTACTCGACTGAGAGAGGTATGTGTTCACTTCGGCGTGATATAAACTTGATATACCTGTTAAAACTAAAACGTTTCAGTGCACATAGTAACTTGTATGTATATTATATGATGAGTGTACGTACATTTAATCAAGCCGTGTCGTGAATTTAGTTATTTTTGAGAGTTTGAGAAATTGCTAACTTAGCTAACCTCGTGTTTTGTTTAGCTGTAAGTTAGCAATCGTCATTCTATCCTCTTGTGTTGAAGCCCACGTTGTTCTTTTTATGTTAGGCGGATTCTGGTCGAGGGTAGAGTTTTGAACATTTTCTCTCCTTGATGTTGAACAGGTATGTATTCCCTATATCAGGTTAAAAATATGTGTTCATTTAAAATGTTTTCATGTATTGATTAGTGTTTAATGGCACTGAAAAGCTCAAATGTGAAGGATTACATGTTGCTTCGTGCATATTACTGTATGTATTACCTATTTGAAAGATGGTTTATGTCATGTTCACAGTATTAATGTAAAGGCTAAAAGCTCAGAGTTTTTGGCAGAGAACATGCAATATGACACATACATTATTTTCCAATTATGTTGTATTTTATTCCTTGTATTTTTGAATGTGATTATACTGAGTCTGCATTGTATTCGACTGAGAGAGGCGGATTCTGGTCGAGGGTAGAGTTTTGAACATTTTCTCTCCTTGATGTTGAACAGATTGAGAGAGTTGTACACAATAAAGTGCCTTCAAGTACGCCAGTGTCTTGTCTTCAGTGCACCGGAACACAACGCAGTAGTCGGCAACGAGCAGACCGCGCCGGCTACACAAGCACCAGGGTCTTGAAGATGATGCGAGCTTTGACTGGAAGCCAGTGGAGTGTGCGAAGGAAAGGAGTGATTTGGGAGATCTTAGGAAGGTTGAACACCAGGCAGGCTGTGGCATTCTGGATATGTTGCAGGGGTTTGATGGCACAAGCAGGGAGCCCAGCCAACAGAGAGTTGCAGTAGTCTAGATGAGAGATGACAAATGCCAGGATTAGGACCTGCGCCGCTTCCTGTGTGAGGAAAGGTCGTACTCTACAGATGTTGCAAAGCCCTCAAACTCAACTCTGGACCTCAAAGCCAGTTCCACTGCATTTTTTCATTGTTCACCTCTAATCAGGGACTTATTTTGACCTGGGACCTGGGTGCAATTAAGTATCAGGTAGAAAATAAAATCAGCAGGCTCCGGACCTCGTAAGGTAAGAGTTGAATACCGAAGCAATGTTCCGATGCCTGTATCACTTTATCAGAAGCATGTGATCAATGACGTGCAAAGCTTTGATTAGTCGAACAACCACCTGATTGGTTTGGTATTGGTTTGGTAGAAGAGAAAAAGGCTACGCTGCGCACACGCTACGGGGTGTGGGAAGTCATCTATAATAATTCTAAAATGTTTAATCCTTTTGACCAGCAGGTGCCAGTAGTGTACACTGTGTTGATCAAAGCCTTGAGTAATGAACCCATTTTCGACACAATTGGCTGGAAAACGTCAATGCTTCAGGAAGCTTTGTTTCCCCATCACTATGCGGAGTTATCAACCGTGATGGAGAGGTCTTGGAGTGGGCAGGCCTTTCCCGGGAGGAAGAGCAGCTCCATTTTGTTGAGGTTGAGCTTGAGGTGGTGGGCTGACATCCAAGCTGAGATGTCTGCCAGGCACGCAAGGATGCATGTCGCCACCTGGTTGTCAGAAGGGGGGAAGGAGTAGAGTAGGTGAGTGTCATCCGCATAGCAATGATAGGAGAGACCATGACAACGTTTAATTTAACAACAAAACTCTCTTTATCAACAAAACTCTCTCTGTCCTCTATATTGTTAAGTGTGTTCAGGTGTGTTGGCTGCTGTTGGCACAGCTGCTCTTAATGAATGCTTGTTTCCTTTGAAATGGGTTATGGTTGAATAGACTAAAATGAACAGCTATATATGCGTAAAAAAAACATGGCATGCTTGTTCCATCCTGGTGAACCAGTGGACTAATTCCAGGGATAGAGAACAGAAGATTGATGCAGTGTTGCAATAAATGTGTTTGCATGATTCATGCATAAGGAAATGAATGTCCATGTGTCCTATCTATGCTTGGAGTTCAAAACAGTTAGCCCAAAATAAGCTAGTAGTGTTATTAAAAGGCTTATTGAAACATTCAGTCAAATGTTTAGGGAAGTTATTAAAAAACCTCCAAAGAACCTATAATTCCAGTTCTCAGAGCGCTAATAAAACATCCAAGGCAAACAATCTCAGAACCTCCCTGCAAAATGTTCACTTGTGTTCTCAGAACGTTTAAAAAACGTTCTATTTTACCAGTCAGGAAACGTATGACTCCGTTCCCACAACCAATGTGAAACCAAAAACATACATTCCCACAACTTCCAAGGAACCAAATGTGCTAGCTGGGAAAGCCTCCTAATAATAATAATAATTATACTTTTTTTTTTGTCTATTGTCTTTAAAGATGCACTATGCAGAAATCAAATAGTAGTCCATATAATTCAGATATGCATAAATCGAGTTATGGTCCCTATAATTCCAGAACTGGTGGAGGAATAAAAATAACTTCTAAATGCCAACTCTTGCAACCACCAGTAACACATACAACACACAATGACACATAGTCATGATTTTCCTTCAGTGACCCAGGTAGATAGTATTACCACAGATTGAACAATGAGGGTTAGTTATAAAAAATATTTGGTATTACATGTGATGCTGTAGATTTTGCAGATGGCATTCGGTCTATTTCTGCTTCAGTGGATCGTTACGTCATCGAACGTCATGTAAATACTATCAGCTGGCTCTTTTCCTAGCAGCAGCGCACTCGATAGTTTGGATTCGTAGTACTGTACTTCTTTCGGATCTGTCATTTCACCAAGACGGAATGATAGTTTGACTGCTCTCAGATAAGACTATCAACACTCGAGTTAAATTGACGAGTTGAAGAAATCTCTCGCTTGTTTCGTTATAAGTATAGCCAGTTGTCCATGCTAGCTTGTTAGCAAAGTAGCGTAGGCTATAAGTTAGCTAGCTAACAACGGCAGCTAACTCCAGCAGAGAGAGACTGGAAATAGACTTCATTGCATAACGTTAACTGAGAGATAAGCTAGTTTACTGACATAATTAGCATCCATATTCTGGGAAAGTGACAGTGAATGCTCAATTCTCAAGACTAACCAGTCAATAGTTGTTGCCTTGCTAACCAGGGCAGGGAGGCTATTCAACAAGCTAACTTTAGCATTCAGATAGATCAGAATGCCTTGACTGAGCTCGTGCGGTAAGTTTGGGGAGAGCTGCTGTACGTACGATAATAGATTTTCTGCGGGGCTGAAAGCTTCGAGGAAGAGGAGTCGTTTTCATTCAGACGTGTCCAGGGGCCTTAACGAACGTCTTTCTCACTAAAAATAAGTCATAGACAATCGTCTCCCAAATGTTGACAGAAAACAGGTGAGTTTATTTCTTACAATAATGCCTTATTTAATTACTATCGACCTCAGTGACTGTTAGCTGTATTTGTCTCTCTTGTAGGCTAATTGATCTCAGCGTATCAGTTTATTATCTCACTTGGTTGTTTTCTTCCCAGAGTTCTGATCAATATGTTGTCATACCCGTGGCTGATAATTTGAACACGTCTGCTCCTGTAACTAGGCTGTGCCTGAGATCGCCTATCTCTCTATTTTGGGTACTTGGTGTTCTCTCACACATACACCCACTCTCAAAATAGGCCTAATAATATATGCCATTTAGCAGACGCCTTTATCCAAAGCGACTTATAGTATATATTTTATGTATGGGTGGTCCCAGCGGGAATCAAACCAATGGCCTTTGGTGTTGCAAGCACCATGATCTACCGACTGAGCCACACAGACCACAAACACAAACAAATTATATTTTTCTCTCTAAGACGGTCACTCTCACACTTTTACTTCCTGCCTATCTCTCTCTCTCACTCACTGTGTACAGGAAGCGGCGGCGTGGTGGAGACAATGAGGGGGACCAGCTGAACCCCCAGGCCAAAAGGTCAGGAGGGGGGCAGGAGGGTCACGCCATGGTGTCCAAGCTGGGCCAAGACGTCTGGGACTCTGAGGTAACAGAACACACACACATATACTTGTGATGGTTTGTGCAACAAGTATTTTCTCTAAGTCATACCTGTTTCTTCTCTCTCTGTGCTCCAGTCGTCCAGCAGTGACAGCAGTAGTGGTATCAGTAGTCCTGAGAGGGCAGCGGGAGGAGCCAGCACATATACACAGAGCCAGAAGAACCGCACGTCCCAGGGTCTCCTCAGACCCTCGCCAGAAGACCCTTCCATATCCTCGTTGAGTCTTTATGGCAACGGCACCCCCTATGACCACATCAACAGTGTCCTGAGGGAGGCCCACTTCAGCAGTCTGCAGACCAGAGAACCAGGATCTACGTGACCTCACCTCACCCCTGACCCTTGTTACCCCACTGGAAAAAGCCCATGGGTAGGATCCAGGAAGAAGTTGCCCATAAACTCAAATCTAGAATCAATTTACCCCAGATTTGTGTCTAGGAGCAACTTCATCCTACTGGGATTCACGATGTGGCAGAAGTGGGTATACATCCTTTGGGCTCTGGACCCAATCCATACCATTGTCCCTGTGCTGTACACCTTGTAATGTGCCATACATAAAGCACACCTACATATCCAATGGCCCACCCACTGTGGTACTACTATATGCAGTATGTACAGTACCAGTCAAATGTTTGGACACACCTACTCATTCCAGGGTTTTTCTTTATTTTTACTATTTTCTACATTGTAGAATAATAGTGAAGTCATCAAAACGATGAAATAACACATGGAATCATGTAGTAACCAAAAAAGTGTTAAACAAATCAAAATATATTTTGTATTTGAGATTCTTCAAAGTAGTCACCCTTTGCCTTGATGACAGCTTTGCACTCTCTTGGTATTCTCTTAACCAGCTTCATGAGGTAGTCATCTGGAATGCATTTCAATTAACAGGTGTGCCTTGTTAAAAGTTCATATGTGGAATTTCTTTCCTTCTTAATGTGTTTGAGCCAATCAGTTGTGTTGTGACAAGGTAGGGATGGTATACAGAAGATAGCCCTATTTGGTAAAAGACCAAGTCCATATTAGGGCAAGACAAGCTCAAATAAGCAAAGAGAAACGACAGTCCATCATTACTTTAAGACATGAAGGTCAGTCAATCCGGAAAATTTCAAGAACTTTGAACGTTTCTTCAAGTGCATTCGCAAAAACCATCAAGCGCTTTGATGAAACTGGCGCTCATGAGGACCGCCACAGGAAAGGAAAACCCAGAGTTACCTCTACTGCAGAGGATAAGTTAATTAGAGTTAACTGCACCTCAGATTGCAGCCCAAATAAATGCACAGAGTTCAAGTAACAGACACAGTTCAACATCAACGGTTCAGAGGAAACTGTGTGAATCAGGCCTTCATGGTCAAATTGCTGCAAAGAAACCACTACTAAAGGACACCAATAAGAAGAAGAGACTTGCTTGGGCCAAGAAACACAAGCAATGGACATTAGACCGGTGGAAATCTGTCCTTTGGTCTGATGAGTCCAAATGTGAGATTTTTGGTTCCAACCGCTGTGTCTTTGTGAGACGCAGAGTAAGTGAACGGATGATCTCCGCATGTGTGGTTCCAAGGTGAAGCATTGAGGAGGTGGTGTGGGGGTGCTTTGCTGGTGACACTGTCAGTGATTTATTTAGAATTCAAGACACACTTAACCAGCATGGCTACCACAGCATTCTGCAGCGATACGCTATCCCATCTGGTTTGCGCTTTGTGGGACTATCATTTGTTTTTCAACAGGACAATCACCCAACACACCTCCAGGCTGTGTAAGGGCTATTTGACCAAGGAGAGTGATGGAGTGCTGCATCAGATGACCTGGCCTCCACAATCACCCGACCTTAACCCAATTGAGATGGTTTGGGATGAGTTGGACCGCAGAGTGGAGGAAAAGCAGCCAACAAGTGGTCTGCATATGTGGGAACTCCTTCAAGACTGTTGGAAAAGCATTCCTCATGAAGCTGGTTGAGAGAATGCCAAGAGTGTGCAAAGCTGACCTCAAGGCAAAGGGTGGCTACTTTGAAGAATCTCAAATATAACAAATATTTTGATTTGTTTAACACTTTTTTTGGTTACATGATTCCATATGTGTTATTTCATAGTTCTGATGTCTTCACTATTATTCTACAATGTAGAAAATAGTAAAAATAAAGACAAATCCTTGAATGAGTAGGTGTGTCCAGTCCTTTGACTAAATGTAGTGTATGTACTCCAGCACTTTACTGAGGGGTCTACTACTCTGTGTTGGTCTCCTTACATGAGTGAGTTGTTGTTGGACATTCTCATTGCCACTGGTGCTATCTACTACAGACAGACATCTGTATGAGTGTCTAAAGTGCTTGCTGTAGCCTAATTAATAAAGAGAAGCACTTTATCATGCCTGTTATTTTCTTGTCCAGGCCAGTACTCATTGTGCTGTTTCGTATGCAAAGCTGAGTGTGAGTTGGTGTTGATTAGTCTCTAGTTACTTTCTATGATTGTCACATTGGCCTAGAGGTTATCCAGAAAGAGAATTTCAAGCCACACTGCCAAGCTTCTTGTACTGATAAGGTGAGGTGCTTTGCAGACTAAAGGCTGAAGTTTGGGTTTGTTCGTGTATCTTGGCATTTCCAGCAGCTGCAGTGAGCATCGACTGCTCATCCTCCCACCACGAAAAAATTAAGAGGGAACCATGAGTACACTCACTCGCACAGAATACAGTTCTCTGTGACTATAACAGGCCAAATTCTCCATTGTTCAGGGGAGTGAATTGAACGTTACAGAATGTTCCAATGGAAATTGTATTTTTTTGTTTCTCTCTACAACATTGTTTAACGCAACACACACCACTCAACAGTATAAGCCTCAGACCCAGGGGTATGGGTCAGTCTGTGGGAAGGCCAGTGGGTTCACTGTAACGAGACACAATCTACCATATGGAAGGTGGCATTGCCACATTTTGCCATACCTCTGCTATTTTCCAGATGCCATCAGAAATATTGAGTTGCAGGGGCCTTTGAGTTTGTGTTTTCCTACAGAATCCAATAACCTGCTCTTCATACTTCCCTGTGCTGGGATCATCTTGGCAACGCTTACCTTCATCACTGTTATAGCCTGTCGCCCTAGGAAAGGAAACAAAACACAGATGGGAGACTGACAGACAACATCTCTGGTCTTGTTGATTTTTTTTTGGCCCTGTTTGAAAACTTTGAAAAAACATAATTTCTTCCTCTTTTCAAGTAAAGTCACTACTTGATTACTTAGGAGGCTGTTCTACACTATGTCCACAAGGGGGTAATCTATACCTAACGATGAACAATCAACAAATGATGGCTGCAAGCAGCAGCCCTGTCAAGTGACAAAATGTATATTCGACAATGTAGCTGTATATTTTATTTTATTATGTTACAGATGTCTGGGTACAATAACGCCACGTACTCCAGCATGAATGTGGAACTGCAGCCCCATCAGGACATCCCTGATATCAGTAGTGATCTGTGTGTGTCCAGGGCAGAGAAAGGAGAGGTCCAAGCCCTTCTGTTGCAGCACGGGACATACTGCAACTAGCTTTAACTCACACTCTTTTGATTTGGGGTTCTTGTTTGTCTGATTCAAGTCAAATATTGATCATTTGTTAGAAATGGATAGTTCAGGATGAATAATAACTATTGATTAATTCAGTATAACTTCATACTGCTGCAATTTACATTTCCTCTGTTTGTGTGCATTCTACCATTTGACTATTTGCCTTGATGATCCCCAGACCCAGACAGAAGTCTGACCTCTAAAACTAAGTATCCATCCAGGGTATTTTAGAGGATTGGATCCACCTATGGTGATAGATGAGAGCTGCCAGTAACACTGTAGGGAACAGTCCTAATGGCTGTTACCTAAAGGCCCCACCAGCACAGTAGCCAGCCACCTCTCTGTCTGGCCTACAGAGCACCAGAGATGAATTCATCAGTCACATGACTAATGACCTTGAGCTGAAAGACATGGACTTGATTGACATGTAGCATTTTCTTGCAGAAACTAAATTCGAATTTGGGGTTGGGTGTGACTCACCAACACAATAAGACATGTTTTTATGGAGTAGAACATCTAAATAAATAAATTGTCTTTGTTAGTAACTCAATCTTGTTATATTTACACGCATAAACACTGGTTATGTTCCCCAAAATGTATGTATGGTCTCCTGAGGGATCTCCTCCCAGACCTGGACTAAAGCATCCGCCAACTCCTGGACAGTCTGTGGTGCAACGTGGCGTTGGTGGATGGAGCGAGACATGAGGTCCCAGATGTGCTCAATTGGATTCAGGTCTGGGGAATGGGCGGGCCAGTCCATAGCATCAATGCCTTCCTCTTGCAGGAAATGCTGACACACTCCAGCCATATGAGGTCTAGCATTGTCTTGCATTAGGAGGAACCCAGGGCCAACCGCACCAGCATATGGTCTCACAAGGGGTCTGAGGATCTCATCTCGGTACCTAATGGCAGTCAGGCTACCTCTGGCGAGCACATGGAGGGCTGTGCGGCCCCCCAAAGAAATGCCGCCCCACACCATGACTGACCCACCGCCAAACCGGTCATGCTGGAGGATGTTGCAGGCAGCAGAACGTTCTCCACGGCGTCTCCAGACTCTGTCACGTCGGTCACATGTGCTCAGTGTGAACCTGCTTTCATCTGTGAAGAGCACAGGGCGCCAGTGGCGAATTTGCCAATCTTGGTGTTCTCTGGCAAATGCCAAACGTCCTGCACGGTGTTGGGCTGTAAGCACAACCCCCACCTGTGGACGTCGGGCCCTCATACCACCCTCATGGAGTCTGTTTCTGACCGTTTGAGCAGACACATGCACATTTGTGGCCTGCTGGAGGTCATTTTGCAGGGCTCTGGCAGTGCTCCTCCTGCTCCTCCTTGCACAAAGGCGGAGGTAGCAGTCCTGCTGCTGGGTTGTTGCCCTCCTACGGCCTCCTCCACGTCTCCTGATGTACTGGCCTGTCTCCTGGTAGCGCCTCCATGCTCTGGACACTACGGTGACAGACACAGCAAACCTTCTTGCCACAGCTCGCATTGATGTGCCATCCTGGACGAGCTGCACTACCTGAGCCACTTGTGTGGGTTGTAGACTCCGTCTCATGCTACCACTAGAGTGAAAGCACCGCCAGCATTCAAAAGTGACCAAAACATCAGCTTTTGTTAGGCAATAGACCTCTGTGGCTGTTATTTCTTTATATGTATCTTGCTGCTCACAATTTGACTTGCTGCTCACGACTGTACCAAAACGTATGTATTTGAATTGTATCTTACAATACGATCGAGTAACTTGATTTGTACTTCAGTAATGCTACTTACCCTGACTTTGAATTCCAGACAGAAACTGGCCTTCAACTAAATAGTCTCTTGTAGAATAGAATAAAACGTTTTTATACACTACTGTTCAAAAGTTTGGGGTCACTTAGAAATGTCCTTGTTTTCGAAAGAAAAGCAATCTTTTTGTCCATTAAAATAACATCAAATTGATCAGAAATACTGTGTAGACATTGTTAATGTTGTGAATGGCTATTGTAACTGGAAACGGCTGATTTTTAAAGGAATATCTACATAGGCATACAGAGGCCCATTATCAACAACCATCAGTCCTGTGTTCAATGGCACGTTGTGTTTGCTAATCCAAGTTAGAGCCAGATTGCGCTGTTCTGTGAAGGGAGTAGTACGGAGTGTTTTATGAGATTTTCAGTTTCTTGGCAATTTCTCGCATGGAATAGCCTTAATTTACTCAGAACAAGAATAGACTGACGAGTTTCAGAAGAAAGTTATTTGTTTCTGGCCATTTTGAGCCTGTAATCGAACCCACAATTGCTGATGCTCCAGATACTCAACTAGTCTCAAGAAGGCCCGTTTTATTGCTTCTTTAATCAGCACAACAGCTTTCAGCTGTGCTAACATAATTGCAAAATGGTTTTCTAATGATCAATTAGCCTTTTAAAATGATAAACTTGGATTAGCAAACACAACGTGCCATTGGAACACAGGACTGATGGTTGCTGATAATGGGCCTCTGTACGCCTATGTAGATATTCCATTAAAAATCAGCTGTTTCCAGCTACAATAGCCATTTACAACATTAACAATGTCTACACTGTATTTCTGATCAATTTTATGTTATTTTAATGGACAAAAAAAATTGCTTTTCTTTCGAAAACAAGGACATTTCAAAGTGACCCCAAACTTTTGAACGGTAGTGTAAGTAATACACGACTGCATTGCATGAACATGTGGACACCCTGTCCCACTTCTATTCACAACCATATTCCATTTATTTAAAGAGTCAGGGAGCTAAAGAGTCAGGGAGATGTTTTCACACTAGTTTGTAGGAGTGTACCTAAATGACTGATGTCACCGTTGACCTTTGAGCTGCTCTCATGTCTTAATTAAGCATTACTAATGCCACCTAGGCTTTGGTCACTTGTTGTTTAAAGCTACTGGTCTATGAAATGTAACTGCTATATAAACAGACTGCTTTTCAATAGTGTTTTATTTGTCCTTACATTTTCACATTATTGTTAATATTCATTGGCAAAGCAAAGGTTAGGTTCGTAAAGCACATCTGGCACAAAATCCTTGAAAGAAGGCCACATAAAAAGTAAGCAATGTAATAACAACATTACACACCCAACATTGTTTTCATGGAAAGAGACCCTCGTACACATGAATGTATTGTTCATATCATACATAACAAATTGTTCTTATCTGCTTAACAAATTAAATGGACACATTTAACAGTAACAATGCTCCCATATAAATGCCTCTTTGTTTGTTCTGAACTATGCACTGCACAGACATTGTAGGCCTAAACAAACCAACGTGTCCCAAACAAGAAGACCATAATTCTGGAATAGTTTTGTGAGACAACAACATATACTGCTGCAGGCATTGAGGTGGACTTGGGATATTGAAAACAGTATGGGTAATAATGGATAATAAAACCTTATTAACATTATAGGACAACAGACATGCCACAAGTACAAGAACACCAATTTCCACACATAACTATGGAATGTTTACCAATACTAACGCAAAGATCAAAGCTAGTCACTGATCATCTCTGCTATAGGATAGTATAAATCTACAACATATCTGTCGGTTGTACCATGAAAACGTGGCTTCCATGTTTGATTTGATATTTGCCTAGATCTGCTCAGGCTGTCTCCGGTCAAGGTGGAGAGGCTTTAATGACCTCCAACAGGAGACCAGAAGACCTTAGGCTACTGTATGTGAGTCCTGGGACAGCTAATCTATGCCTTACACCGCCCACGCCACACGCAAGCCTTAGCCAGCCTCACATGTCAAATCCGGTGTCATTAAGTCTGTGTCTGCCGGTGTGTAAGTCTGTATGTGTGTGTCAACACGTGTGTGTGTATAACTGTGTCTCGGTGTAGTAGAATCATCTCGAATTAGGTAAATCAAAGCCTTTACTTACACAGACAGCCAAACAAAACATGACAAGCATTACACGTAACATGTACAGTATGCGTCAAGATCAAGAACATGAATCTCAACAAGTCACAGACAGACTGAGACACCCATCCTAAGACTCAGTCTCAGACAGCCGGTCCTGGCATAGTTCTAGAGGCTGTTTGGCTGCTCCTCCTCCAAACACCTCCACATCACTGTCCAGCCAGGACACCACGTTCCCGGGGGTGTAGCAGGAACAGTTGGCCATGGTGAGGATGTCGGCTGGCTTCAGGACCTTGTCCCAGATGTTAACCTGGCTCAGTTCACCCACAAAGGCCTGCGTGGCGTCAAAGCGCCCGCCCACCATGTCCTGTTGAGGCCATAAACGACAGGCCTCGTTAAAAACAACAACAATAACATCATCCTCCTATTCGCTGTTGACCACCAGGCTCAGCCTGTCACACTCAAGGATGCTGTACTCTCTCTAAACAATGTTTTGCTTTCTCAAGTCATTGATGGTTATTAGCGTTAAAAATGAACTTATAAAAACACCAGCTCTTTGGTGTATTCATTGAGTCTCTCTCTAGTCATGGTTTTAAAAGTTTTGAAATCTCACAGTATCAACATTTCTGTGCACTCAAGGTTTCTTTTTACAGCCTATGGCTTGAGGAAACTGTGCAGACACGTTGGTCTGAGCTATCTGATTGGCCAGTGGTAGACCTATTGGGGCACTTGCTTTGCTCTCTGGGCCTGCTGGGTATGCGGTGTTCTACCTTCAGACTAATGAAATGGTTCAAATTGGGAACACTTTGATTTCCCGGCGCTAGGGCTGCTGAATCAAGTGCACCGTTGTCTTTTACAGAAATGTTTGGTGATCGACTACGAAAGCCTTGGAGATCGACCAGTCGACGACCGGTTGGTAACCACTGCTCTAGAGCCTATAGCACAGTACTCATGGTCATGGCTAAGCTACTGTACAATTACAATCTGTGAAAACCTGATGATGCAGTTTAGTAAAGCAAGAGTAAAATAGGTTTAAATATTTTCCATACAAATAATATATGCAATTGTGTATACTACAGATAGGGGTCACTAGCCAGCAGACTCACCTGTTCCTGCCCCAGTATGATGGCTCCTCCAGGCTTGATGGGGTGCCATGGGGCCAGGTTGTCCCCTGCCCCCAGCCTCTGACCATCCTGGTAGGCTTCCCACAGACCATCCCTGGTGGTCCAGGTGATACAGATGTGGTGCCACCTACCGTCACGCACCGACAGAGGCAGCTGAGCCACCTGGACAGGTAACAACATAGAAGAGGAGTGTAAGGAAGGTAACGATGCTTACAAACAGAAAGAAGAAATGCATATTAGAGGGAGGAAGGTTAGGGTTTGGTAAAGCTGGTATAAAACACCAGACACTGTTTTAGACCGTGCATGCAAAAACAAAAAATCAGCAACCTCATTAAAGCCAGATCTAATTTAAAACTAAGAACCAAGACTCCTGTCAAGCAAGGTAAGCTCCCCCTCAAAGATCAGCACTACTGAGAAACACAGAGAGTTATTGAGTCATTTAGAGTGCCCTTACCTTGTCATTGATGAGCAGCTCTATGGGATTGTTGCCCCACTCGATGAGTACAATCTCATTGGCCTGTCCTGGCACTCCGTAGGAGAAGGGGGTGCCTATGCCAGGGCCGGCGCTGGACCGGAGCCACATGCAGAGTGTGAAGGCGTACATCTCAGGAAGGCTCTTGATCATGCGGCCATACAAGTAGTTAGTACGCAGGGGGAGGACCAACTTAAACTGCTCAGGGGACTTGAACCCACCATCACCTACAGAGAAAGCAATGGGAGAGCTGTCTATGAAGTCACCTCTATACTCTATACGCAGTATGCATGTAGTAAGACAGTATAAGACAGGGTTTCCCAAACTCGGTCCTCGGGACCCCGTTTTGTTTTTTGCCCTAGCACTACACAGCTGATTCAAATAATCAACTAGTCATCATGCTTTGATAATTTAATTCAGCTGTGTAGTTAGGGCAAAAAACAAAACGTGCACCCCTTGGGGTCCCGGGGACCGAGTTTGGGAAATGCTGGTATAAGAGAACAAAATGATAAGCCAATGTTTGTCAGATGTTATCTAAAGCCTCAGTCTTTTAGTACAATGTAGTGTAGTAAGTGAGTGACAGTTAGTAAGCAGGTAAGTTGATAGTAGATTGAATGACTCGTTGTGTTTACAATGTGAGTCTCCCTGTTTGTGTTACGTGTGTACTACTGTCATATGAGTGTACACAGACGTTTGTGCGTTTTATTATTTATTTTACCCGGTAAGTTGACTGAGAACACATTCTCGTTTACAGCAATGACCTGAGCAATAGTTACAGGGGAGAGGAGGAATGAATGAGCCAATTGGAAACTGGGAATGATTCGGTGGTCATGATGGTATGAGGGCCAGATTGGGAATTTAGACAGGACACTCTTACGAAAAGTGTAATGGGATCATTAGTGACCACAGAGAGTCAGGATACCCGTTTATCATCCCATCCGAAAGACGGCACCCTACTCAGGGCAATGTCCCCTACTTGCCCTCCAATACCACTTCCATCAGCATCTGGTCTCCCATCCAGGGACCAACCAGGACCAATCCTGCTTAGCTTCAGAGGCAAGCCACCAGTGGGATGCAGGGTGGTTTGCTGCCAGGCATGTGTGAGTGGGTGTGCACGTCTGTGTGTGCCCTTGTGTGTCTCTGTCAAATCTTAATTTTTCCAGTTATTTACCTTTCTCCAGCTCGTTAATCCTGGTCAGCAGGGAGTTGAGGGTGCTCTCTGTCTTCTGCCTGTGATCTGCAGTCTCGTTGTAGAGCAGAGACTTCTCTTCCTCCAGGTTGTTGACCTTACTGAGCAGCTGTTTCTCCAGGTCTCCCAGCCTGCTCTGCAGGAGGTCTCTCAGCTCACTGGGGAACAACGCTCCCGACGTGTTGGCTCTCTGCTGCTGTTGCTGTGGGGGGGAGATGAAGACATCACAAAACAATTAAATAAGTGGAGGCAACGCAAGATGGTCAAATAAAATCAGTAGAGGTTTACGCAAAGAGTGTAATTTTTAAAGATCATTGGCTGAGTGGAAATCGGGTGCACTGTGTGTTGTCACGCCCTGGCTCTGGGGACTCTTATATGTTGAGCCAGGGTGTTAGTTTCTATGTGTAGTGTCTATGTTTTGTTTTCTATGTGTTCTTTTCTAGATCGTGTATTTCTGTGTTGGCCGATGTGGTTCCCAATCGGAGGCAGCTGTGTCTTGTTGTCTCTGATTGGGAACCATACTTAGGCAGCCTGTTGTGCACTTGTCATTTGTGGGATCTTGTTCCGTGTAGGTTTGTGTTTATGACCGAGGACTTCACGTATCGATTTGTTGTTTTGTTATTGTTAATAGTACTCAATAAAAAATGTACGCATTTCACACTGCGCCTTGGTCCACTCATTACGACGATCGTGACAGAAGATCCCACCAAAACAGGACCAAGCAGCGTTTCCAGGAGCAAACGCCAGAGGTAACGTTGGTAGATGTCCTCCTCGGTTGGGGGAGGATAACGGAGGAGGAGGCCGTCCGTTACCGGAGGGCGATGAAGGGGGAGACCCAGGCAGGAGAGGAGAAGCGGCGCCAACCGGGCCGTCGTCGGACAGGCGAGAGGCAACCCCAATAAATGTATTGGGGGGGGGGGGGGGCACACGGCATGGACGACGGGGCTGCTGGAGGCAGCTACAGGGCGAGATTGTGGACTAGGAGAGAAGGCCACCAGGTTACGGGGGCCATTGGTCATTAGAGGGAAGGAGAGTGTAGAGGCACGGCGAGAGGTACTGGGGTGTGTTACCAGTCCGGTCCGGCCCGTTCCTGATCCCCGCACAAGGCCAGTGGTGCGCGTCGCCAGCCCGGCCCGGCCTGTTCCTGTCCCTCGCACCAAGCCAGTGGTGCGCGTCGCCAGCCCGGTCCGGCCTGTTCCTGCTCCCCGCACCCAGCCAGTGGTGCGCGTCGTCAGCCCGGTCCGGCCCGTTCCTGCTCCCCGCACCAAGCCAGTGGTGCGCGTCGTTAGCCCGGTCCGGCCCGTTCCTGCTCCCCCGCACCAAGCCAGTGGTGCGCGTCGCCAGTCTGGCCCGTTCCTGCTCCCCCGCACCAAGCCAGTGGTGCGCGTCGCCAGCCCGGTCCGGCCCGTTCCTGCTCCCTGCACCAAGCCAGTGGTGCGCGTCGTCAGCCCGGTCCGGCCCGTTCCTGCTCCCCGCACTAAGCCAGTGGTGCGCGTCGTCAGCCCGGTCCGGCCTGTTCCTGCTCCCCGCACCAAGCCAGTGGTGCGCGTCATCAGCCCGGTCCGGCCCGTTCCTGCTCCCCCGCACCAAGCCAGTGGTGCGCGTCGCCAGCCCGGTCCGGCCCGTTCCTGCTCCCCGCACCAAGCCAGTGGTGCGCGTCGTCAGTCCGGCACGGTCCGTGCCTGTTCCACTCATTACGACGATCGTGACATGTGTAGATTAGTATGTCTTCAGAAGGGCCACATGACCTGACAAGGGAAAACTCTGGGCCCCTGTTGTAACTAATGGAGAACATTGGATCTCTCCAATTGTCTCACACCAGTTTCCTACGTCTGTTAATGCAGAATGATTTTACACACCGTTTTATCTGAAATGAAACATAGCTCTCTAAGAAAGCTAAATATCGCAAGAAACACATTATATCCTTGGTCATTTGACAAAATATAAACGCAATATGCAACAATTTCAAAGATTTGACTGAGTTACAGTTCATAATCAGTCAATAGAAATTAATTAATTTGGCCCTAATCTATGGATTTCACATGACTAGGAATACAGATATGCATCTGTTGGTCACAGACACCTTAAAGAAAAAGGTAGGGGCGTGGATCAGAAAACCAGTAAGTATCTGGTGTGACAACCATTTGTCTCATGCAGCTCGACACATCTACTTCGCATAGAGTTGATCAGGCTGTTGATTGTGGCCTGTGGAATGTTGTCCCACTCCTCTTCAATGGCTGTGCGAAGTTGCTGGATATTGACAGGAACTGGAACAAGCTGTCATACACATCGAACCAGAGCATCCCAAACATGCTCAATGGGTGACATGTCTGGTGAGTATGCAGGCCATGGAAGAACTGGGACATTTTCACGTGGTTACACGTGGTCTGCGGTTGTGAGGCCGGTTGGACGTACTGCCAAATTCTCTAAAATGACGTTGGAGTCAACTTATGGTAGAGAAATTAACATTACATTCTCTGGCAACATCTCTGATGGACATTCCTGCAGTCAGCATGCTAATTGCACGCTCCCACAAAACTTGAGACATCTGTGGCATTGTGTTGTGTGACAAAACTGTAAAATTTTGAGTGGCCTTTTATTGTCCCCAGCACAAGGTGCACCTGTGTAATGATCATGCTGTTTATTCAGCTTCTTGACATGCCACACCTGTCAGGTAGATGGATTATCTTGGCAAAGGAGAAATGCTCACTAACAGGGATGTAAACAAATTTGTGCAAATAAAATGTAGAGAAATAAGCTTTTTGTGTGTATGGAGAATTTCTGGGATATTTTATTTCAGTTACAAAAGCTGAAGAACATACGCACATCCGGGTACTTTCCTCAGGTGCTGGAGTTGTAGGAGAATCATGAAAAACAGAAAGGAAAACGCTGCACACTGCTGCTCATGCTCCCAGGTGATATTAATTTATAACAACATTTCGACCCTTAGGTCTTCATCAGGCATCCATATCCTAGGTGGGGGTGGAAGGTCCTATGTACAGTGAGGGAAAAAAGTATTTGATCCCCTGCTGATTGTGTACGTTTGCCCACTGACAAAGACATGATCAGTCTATAATTTTAATGTTAGGTTTATTTGAACAGTGAGAGACAGAATAACAACAACAAAATCCAGAAAAACGCATGTCAAAAATGTTATAAATTGATTTGCATTTTAATGAGGGAAATAAGTATTTGACCCCTCTGCAAAACATGACTTAGTACTTGGTGGCAAAACCCTTGTTGGCAATCACAGAGGTCAGACGTTTATTGTAGTTGGCCACCAGGTTTGCACACATCTCAGGAGGGATTTTGTTCCACTCCTCTTTGTAGATTTTCTCCAAGTCATTAAAGTTTTGAGGCTGACGTTTGGCAACTCGAACCTTCAGCTCCCTCCACAGATTTTCTATGGGATTAAGGTCTGGAGACAGGCTAGGTCACTCCAGGACCTTAATGTGCTTCTTCTTGAGCCACTCCTTTGTTGCCTTGGCCATGTGTTTTGGGTCATTGTCATGCTGGAATACCCATCCACGACTCATTTTCAATGCCATGGTGGAGGGAAGGAGGTTCTCACCCAAGATTTGATGGTAAATCCAGGCTCTGTCGCAGCCGGCCGCGACCGGGAGACTCATGGGCGGCGCACAATTGGCCCAGCGTCGTCCAGGGTAGGGGAGGGAATGGCCGGCAGGGATGTAGCTCAGTTGATAGAGCATGGCGTTTGCAACGCCAGGGTTGTGGGTTCGATTCCCACGGGGGGCCAGTATAAAAAAAAAAAAAATGTAATCACTAACTGTAAATCGCTCTGGATAAGAGCGTCTGCTAAATGACTAAAATGTTAAATGTAAAAATTTTAAATGGCCCCGTCCATTGTCCCTTTGATGCGGTGAAGTTGTCCTGTCCCCTTAGCAGAAAAACACCCCCAAAGCATAATGTTTCCACCTCCATGTTTGACAGTGGGGATGGTGTTCTTGGGGTCATAGGCAGCATTCCTCCGCCTCCAAACACGGCGAGTTGAGTTGATGCCAAAGAGATTGATTTTGGTCTCATCTGACCACAACACTTTCACCCAGTTCTCCTCTGAAACATTCAGATATTCATTGGCAAACATCAGACGGCCCTATATATGTGCTTTCTTGAGTAGGTGGACCTTGCGGGCGCTGCAGGATTTCAGTCCTTCACAGCGTAGTGTGTTACCAATTGTTTTATTGGTGACTATGGTCCCAGCTGCCTTAAGATCATTGACATGATCCTCCCGTGTAGTTCTGGGATAATTCCTCACCGTTCTCATGATCATTGCAACTCCACGAGGTGAGATCTTGCATGGAGCCCCAGGCCAAGGGAGATTGACAGTTATTTTGTGTTTCTTCCATTTGCAAATAATCGCACCAACTGTTGTGACCTTCTCACCAAGCTGCTTGGTGATGGTCTTGTAGCCCATTCCAGCCTTGTGTAGGTCTACAATCTTGTCCCTGACATCCTTGGAGAGCTCTTTGGTCGTGGCCATGGTGGAGAGTTTGGAATCTGATTGACTGATTGCTTCTGTGGACAGGTGTCTTTTATAAAGGTAACAAGCTGAGATTAGGAGCACTCCCTTTAAGAGTGTGCTCCTAATCTCAGCTCGTTACCTGTATAAAAGACACCTGGGAGCCAGAAATCTTTCTGATTGAGAGGGGGTCAAATACTTATTTCCCTCATTAAAATGCAAATCAATTTATAACATTTTTGACATGCGTTTTTCTGGATTTTTTTGTTGTTATTTTGTCTCTCACTGTTCAAATAAACCTACCATTAAAATTATAGACAGATCATTTCTTTGTCAGTGGGCAAACGTACAAAATCAGCAGGGGATCAAATATTTTTCCCTCACTGTATAGGGGCAGTACTCAGTGTCATCACTTCCTGAAACAGGAGGTAAAAAATATTTCATAGGTTCACAATATTAACATTCAATGTATCAAGTCGAACTCCTCCTATCAAAATGTCAAAATGATTGTGTTTTTATCCTAATTTAATATTGTATGTGTATATATATAAGACAGGCTTCCACTCTGTCTTAGATACAGTGGGGGGAAAAAGTATTTAGTCAGCCACCAATTGTGCAAGTTCTCCCACTTAAAAAGATGAGAGAGGCCTGTAATTTTCATCATAGGTACACGTGAACTATGACAGACAAAATGAAAAAAAAAAATCCTGAAAATCACATTGTAGGATTTTTAATGAATTTATTTGCAAATTATGGTGGAAAATAAGTATTTGGTCAATAACAAAAGTTTCTCAATACTTTGTTATATACCCTTTGTTGGCAATGACACAGGTCAAACGTTTTCTGTAAGTCTTCACAAGGTTTTCACACACTGTTGCTGGTATTTTGGCCCATTCCTCCATGCAGATCTCCTCTAGAGCAGTGATGTTTTGGGGCTGTCGCTGGGCAACACAGACTTTCAACTGCCTCCAAAGATTTTCTATGGGGTTGAGATCTGGAGACTGGCTAGGCCACTCCAGGACCTTGAAATGCTTCTTACGAAGCCACTCCTTCGTTGCCCGGGCGGTGTGTTTGGGATCATTGTCATGCTGAAAGACCCAGCCATGTTTCATCTTCAATGCCCTTGCTGATGGAAGGAGGTTTTCACTCAAAATCTCATGATACATGGCCCCATTCATTCTTTCCTTTACACGGATCAGTCGTCCTGGTCCCTTTGCAGAAAAACAGCCCCAAAGCATGATGTTTCCACCCCCATGCTTCACAGTAGGTATGGTGTTCTTTGGATGCAACTCAGCATTCTTTGTCCTCCAAACACGATGAGTTGAGTTTTCACCAAAAAGTTCTATTTTGGTTTCATCTGACCATATGACATTCTCCCAATCCTCTTCTGGATCATCCAAATGCACTCTAGCAAACTTCAGACGGGCCTGGACATGTACTGGCTTAAGCAGGGGGACACGTCTTGCACTGCAGGATTTGAGTCCCTGGCGGCGTAGTGTGTTACTGATGGTAGGTTTTGTTACTTTGGTCCCAGCTCTCTGCAGGTCATTCACTAGGTCCCCCCATGTGGTTCTGGGATTTTTGCTCACCGTTCTTGTGATCATTTTGACCCCACGGGGTGAGATCTCGCGTGGAGCCCCAGATCGAGGGAGATTATCAGTGGTCTTGTATGTCTTCCATTTCCTAATAATTGCTCCCACAGTTGATTTCTTCAAACCAAGCTGCTTACCTATTGCAGATTCAGTCTTCCCAGCCTGGTGCAGGTCTACAATTTTGTTTCTGGTGTCCTTTGACAGCTCTTTGGTCTTGGCCATAGTGGAGTTTGGAGTGTGACTGTTTGAGGTTGTGGACAGGTGTCTTTTATACTGATAACAAGTTCAAACAGGTGCCATTAATACAGGTAACGAGTGGAGGACAGAGGAGCCTCTTAAATAAGAAGTTACAGGTCTGTGAGAGCCAGTAATCTTGCTTGTTTGTAGGTGACCAAATACTTATTTTCCACCATAATTTGCAAATAAATTCATGAAAAATCCTACAATGTGATTTTCTGGATTTTTTTTTCTCAATTTGTCTGTCATAGTTGATGTGTACCTATGATGAAAATTACAGGCCTCTCTCATCTTTTTAAGTGGGAGAACTTGCACAATTGGTGGCTGACTAAATACTTTTCCCCCCACTGTATATATTACTGTAAATATTGATCACATTCCTTGTGTATGATACATTGAATGTTAATATTGTGAACCTATATTATATATTTCTTCCCTCCTGTTCCAGGAAGTGATGTCACTGAGTGCTGCCCATATATATAGGACCTTCCACCCCCCACCTGGGATATGGATGCATGAAGACCTAAGGATCGAAACGTTGTTACAGTGGCTTGCGAATGTATTCACCCACCTTGCCATTTTTCCTATTTTGTTGCCTTACAACCTGGAATTAAAATGGATTTTTGGGGGGTTTGTAACATTTGATGTACACAACATGCCTACCACTTTGAAGATGAAAAATATTTTCTCTTGTGAAACAAACAGGAAATAAGACAAAAAAACAGAAAACTTGAGCGTGCATAACCACTCGAGTGTTGCTTTAGCAGTATGATTAGGGTCATTGTCCTGCTGGAAGGTGAACCTCCGTCCCAGTCTCAAATCTCTGGAAGACTGAAACAGGTTTCCCTCAATAATTTCCCTGTATTTAGAGCCATCCATCATTCCTTCAATTCTGACCAGTTTCCAGTCCCTGCCGATGAAAAACATCCCCACAGCATGATGCTGCCACCACCATGCTTCACTGTGGGGATGGTGTTCTCGGGGTGATGAGAGGTGTTGGGTTTGTGCCAGACATTGTGTTTTCCTTGATGGCCAAAAAGCTAAATTTTAGTCTCATCTGACCAGAGTACCTTCCATATGTTTGGGGAGTCTCCCACATGCCTTTTGGCAAACACCATACGTGTTTGCTTATTTTTTTCTTTAAGCAATGGCTTTTTTCTGGCCACTCCTCCGTAAAGCCCAGTTCTGTGGAGTGTACGGCTTAGTGGTCCTACGGACAGATACTCAAATCTTCGCTGTGGAGCTTTGCTGCTCCTTCAGGGTTATCTTTGGTATCTTTGTTGCCTCTCTGATTAATGCCCTCCTTGCCTGGTCCATGAGTTTTGGTGTGCGGCCCTCTCTTGGCAGGTTTGTTGTGGTGCCAGATTCTTTCCATTTTTAAATAATGGATTTAATGGTGCTCCGTGGGATGTTCAAAGTTTCGGATATTTTTATAACCCAACCCTGATCTGTACTTCTCCACAACTTTGTCCCTGACCTGTTTGGAGAGCTCCTTGGTCTTCATGGTGCCGCTTGCTTAGTGGTGCCCCTTGCTTAGTGGTGTTGCAGACTCTGGAGCCTTTCAGAACAGGTGTATATATATATATATATATATTGAGATCATGTGACAGATCATATGACACTTAGGTTGCAGGCAGGTGGACTTTATTTAACTAATTATCTGACTTCTGAAGGTAATTGGTTGCACCAGATCTTATTTAGGGGCTTCATAGCAACGGGGATGAATACATATGCATGCACCACTTTTCTGTTATTTATTTGTTCGAATTTTTTGAAACAAGTTATTTTTTTCATTTCACTTCACCAATTTGGACTATTTTGTGTATGTCCATTACATGAAATCCAAATAAAAATCCATTTAAATTGCAGGTTGTAATGCAACAAAATAGGAAAAACGCCAAGGGGGATGAATACTTTTGCAAGGCACTGTACAAATAAATATCACCTGGGAGCATGAGCAGCATTGTGCGGCATTTTCCTTTCTGTTTTCCATATTTTATTGCAGCTCATGAAACATGGGACCAACACTTCATATGTTGCGTTTATGTATTTTGTTCAGTGTAGCTGTTACTGTGCTATTAAGAGGAAATACAACATTTGTTGATTAAGGTGACATAGGGAACTTAATCACTGGAGGGTAAACGAGATAGAAGGCTAATCCATTTAGGGTACGCCTCCACATGGTGGCAAAAATAGATGGATATAGGCTACAGGCCAAAATAGGAGCAAAGTTAATGGCTACTCAACGTTGACCACAGGAACCGGTGTTCACTTTGGATTCAATGACTTAATAAGCAGACAATCAAGCAAGGGCCAACAATGTAAAACAAACATTAGGCCTATTTCAGATGGATTTAAGTCACACTGATAACGATCCTTTTCAGCACTCCCTTTCAATGATTTAGGAACGAAATATTAATGTGGTTACTATCCACTCCTGCGCCTTACCTCTAGGTTCTCTAGTCGGTCCTTCAGACTCTGCATGGTCTTCCCAAGGTTGTCGATTGTATCATTGGGATCTCTGGGTAAATCTCCCATTGTGTTCTGATTATCTTTGTCTTTACTCCAAGATCCACCACTATCATACTTCCCTCCCTCGGAGGCTGACTCACAAAGGGAGAGCTTTGCGGTCAGCTCGTTTATGGTCCCAAGTTGGTTGACTATCGTCTCTTTCTGTTGGAGAATCGTTTCACGGAGCTGCATGACTGTGTTCCTCAACTCTTCCTCCTGAGCCGCTACGTTAGGTTCGGGACTTACTGGGACCAAACAAGTGTCGGCGCCGACGGGGATGACTCGGCATAGGAGCCGGTCTACCTTGCCCGGGGTGTCATCCTGTCCGCCTACAAGCTTCCCATAGCCCAGTCCCAGTGCGTAAAAACACAACAATCTCAAAAGAGAGAACATACCCGCGGCAGTATTTTGGTCGTTATGCTTTAGTGAAATAAGGGGTGGCCCCTAACCGATGATTAAGCCTTTCAAATATGGTGCGTAAAGCACACCGAGAAAGCCATAATCTACTCGGAATACCATAGTCAATCTCGGATTAACCGATATATTTTGTTTTAAAACGTTCTCATTCCATACGAAAGAAAATTCTGAAAAGTAAATAAACTCTTAGGAAATGGTAAAACCACCTGAAGAGTCTGGGTTAACGCTAAGTATCCCCGGCTTTACGCACTTTGGTGCTGAAAGGACAGCGACCATGAGCTAAGAAGATTACTGTCAGACGTATGGCGCGATTGGATTTGTTGTAGCATGTTGACGTAACTACATTCCATAAACGTAGGGTCTGTATGATGGACAAGTCATTTTTTAGTTGTGTGTTTACCAGGTAATAGATTATCATTGACCAATCAATTGGATAGTGGTTAAGAGCGTTGTGCCAGTAACCGAAAGGTCGCTGGTTCTAATCCCCGAGCCGACTAGGTGAAAAATCTGTCGATGTGCCCTTGAGCAAGGCACTTAACCCTAATTGCTCCTGTAAATCGCTCTGGATAAAAGCGTCTGCTAAACGACTCAAATGTAAAATGAAAATGTAAATAGATTAGCTAAAACAGTCCAAAATTCCATATCCTTAGAAAAACAATAGTATTAAATAAATTAGGGAAAGGCTTCACACACATGGTTCAGTTTCATCAAACCTGCGCATAGATGGTTACTTCTTCCAGTTCCTGATTGGAGGAAAGTTTTTGCCTTACATGCTGTTGGGGCCACGGGTGAAAGGATAGGTAGTTTGTTATACAGACAGGCACGGTGGGAGGGTTATGAATAATCTTGATACAACCCATGGAAAAATCAAGAACCGCCTGGTGTGATAAAACTAGACACTGACGGAAAGATGATGGAAAGGAGGATAGGAAAGTTGATGGAATGATGTAAAAGGAGGTGAGTAGCGTTGACAAGGAAACATATGTCTAACCGGACCATATAAGGATATAAATTGTTGCTCTTTTAGCATTGCCACCACGCACACTGATTATGTCAGCCTGCCTTAAGAACACTGGGCATCTACCATTGTTCATGACAAAGGATGTGGGGGAAAACCATTACGTCATTTAGCAAAAGCTCTTATCAAGAGCGATTTACAGTAATGAGTGCATTCATTTTAATATTTTTTTGGTACTGGTCCACTGTAGGAATAGAACCACCAATCCTGACGCTGTAAGCGCCATACGCTACCAACTGAGCTACACAGGACTACCATTAACAGCATCACTTGCGTGGTTTGACTGTGAAATCTGAAAGGCAATCGCATCTAAACAGCAAGAGAGGAGCACGGACAGGAATACAGGAAGCTAAGTACCACAGGTGAGATTGGCTTTGGATGTGGCATCCAAAACAGTCACTAAGCAGCCAATTAGTGATCTAATGTGGCATACTGACAGCTCAGCTCGTGAAGATAGAATATCTTTGTAAATATACTGAACAAAAATATAAACACAACATGTAAAGTGTTGGTCCCATGTTTCATAAGCTGAAATAAAAGAACCAGGACATTTTCCATACACATAAAAATATTATTTATATCAAATTTTGTGCACAAATTTGTTTACATCCCTGTTAGTGAGCATTTCTCCTTTGCCAAGATAATCCATCCACCTGACAGGTGTGGCATATCAAGAAGCTGATTAAACAGCATGATCATTACACAGGTGCACCTTGTGCTTGGGACAATAAAAGGCCACTCTAATAAAAGGCCACTCACGCCAGCCCAGGACCTCCACATCCGGCTTCTTCAGCGGGATCATCTGAGACCAGCCACCCGATGAAACTCTGGGTTTGCACAAACTGTCAGAAACCGTTTCAGGGTTTCTCGTCGTGCTCAACAGGGTCTTGACCTGACTGCAGTTCAGCATCGTAACCGACTTCAGTGGGCAAATGCTCACCTTCAATGGCCACTGGCACACTGGAGAAGTTTGCTCTTCATGGATTAATCACGGTTTCAACTGTACCGGGCAGATGGCAGACGTTGTGTGGGCCAGTGGATTGTGTAAACAGAGTGCCCCATGGTGACGGTGGGGTTATGGTATGGGCAGGCATAAGCTATGGACAACGAACACAATTGCATTTTATCAATGGCAATTTGAATGCACAGAGATACCGTGACGAGATCCTGAGGCCCATTGTCGTGCCGTCCATCCGCCGCCATCGCCTCATGTTTCAGCATGATAATGCACAGCCCCATGTCGCAGGATCTGTACACAATTCCTGGAAGCTGAAAATGTCCCAGTTCCATGTTCTGCATTCTCACCAGACATGTCACCCATTGAGCATGTTTGTGATGCTCTGGATCGACGTGTACGACACCGTGTTCCAGTTCCCACCAATATCCAGCAACTTCGCACAGCCTTTAAAGAGGAGTGGGACAACATTCCACAGGCCACAATCAACAGCCTGAACAACTCTATGCGAAGGATGTGTCACGTTGTATGAGGCAAATGGTGGTCACACCAGATATTGGCTGGTTTTCTGATCCACATTCCTACCTTTTTTTTTTTTAAAGGTGTCTGTGACCAACAGATGCATATCGGTATTCCCAGTCATGTGAAATCCATAGATTAGGGCCTAATTCATTCATTTCAATGGACTGATTTCCTTATAAGAACTGTAACATGTTGTGTTTATATTTTTGTAAAGACACTACCATCAGTTGCCACCTCAATCATGGAAAGCTTGCCGTCAATGTGACTCCACCAGTTGTTGTGGCAGTCGTGATTCAGACTCATGAAGTAGATATCGTCATTCTTGTTGACTGCCCACCACCCAATATATATAGTGCCTTCAGAAAGTATTCAGACCCCTTGACTTTTTCCACACTTTGTTAGGTTACAGCCTTATTCTAAAATTGATTAAATAGTTTTTCCCTCATCAATCTACACACAATACCTCATGTCAAAGCAAAAACTGGTTTTTAGAAATGTTTGCTAATATATATTTTAAAAAACGGAAATATTACATTTACATAAGTATTCAGACCCTTTACTCAGTACTTTGTTGAAGCACCTTTGGCAGCGATTACAGCCTTGAGTCTTCTTGGGTATGACGCTACAAGCTTGGCACACCTGTATTTGAGGAGTTTCTCCCATTCTTCTCTGCAGATCCTCTCAAGCTCTGTCAGGTTGGATGGGGAGCGTGGCTGCACAGCTATTTTCAGGTCTCTCCAGAGATGTTAGATCGGGTTCAAGTCTGGGCTCTGGCTGGGCCACTCAAGGACATTCAGAGACTTGTCCCGAAGCCACTCCTGCGTTGTCTTGGCTGTGTGCTTAGGGTCGATGTCCTGTTGGAAGGTGAACCTTTGCCCCAGTCTGAGGTCCTGAGCGCTTTGGAGCAGGTTTTCATCAAGGATCTCTCTGTACATTGCTCTGTTCATTTTTGCCTCGATCCTGACTAGTCTCCCAGTCCCTGCTGCTGAAAAACATCCCCACAGCATGATGCTGCCACCACCATGCTTCACCGTAGGGATGGTGCCAGGTTTCCTCCAGACGTGACGCTTGGCATTCAGGCCAAAGAGTTCAATCTTGGTTTCATCAGACCAGAGAATCTTGTTTCTTATGGTCTGAGAGCCTTTAGGTGCCTTTGGCAAACTCCAAGCGGGCTGTCATGTGCCTTTTACTGAGGAGTGGCTTCCGTCTGGTCACTCTACCATAAAGGCGTGATTGGTGGAGTGCTGCAGAGATGGTTGTCCTTCTGGAAGGTTCTCCCATCTCCACAGAGGAACTCTAGAGCTCTGTCAGAGTGACCATCGGGTTCTTGGTCACCTCCCTGACTAAGGCCATTCTCCCCCCGATTGCTCAGTTTGGCCGGGCGTCCAGCTCTAGGAAGAGTCTTGGTGGTTCGAAACTTCTTCCATTTAAGAATGATGGAGGCCATTGTGTTCTTGGGGACCTTCAATGCTGCAGAAATGTTTTGGTACCCTTCCCCAGATCTGTGCCTCGACACAATCCTGTCTCGGAGCTCTACGGACAATTCCTTCAACCTCATGGCTTGGTTTTTGCTCTGACATGCACTGTCAACTGTGGGACCTTAAATAGACAGGTATGTTCCTTTCCAAATCATGTCCAATCAATTGAATCAAGTTGTAGAAACATTTCAAGCATGATCAATGGAAACAGAATGCACCTGAGCTCAATTTCGAGTGTCATAGCAAAGGGTCTGAATACTTTTGTAAATAAGGTATTTCTGTTTTTTATTTTAAATAAATGTGCAAACATTTCAAAAAAACGGTTTTCGCTTTGTCATTATGGGGTATTGTGTGTAGATTGCTGAAGATTTGTTTTATTTAATCAATTTTAGAATAAGGCTGTAACGTAACAAAATGTGGAAAAAGACAAGGGGTCTGCATACTTTCCGAAGGCACTCTCCCAACTATCAGTGACAAAGACAGGCAATCAGCCTGCATTGACTCAAACACAACTGTATTCTATCAATGTCCTCCTTTTTGTTTGGCTATTCTATTCAACAAACTTGTGTATTCAGTGTGATATCACGATAAATGGAAATATATTTTATAAAATGTCTTATCTGCCAAAAAGCACTGAGAAAATATCAAGAAAATTACACAGTGAAGTGATTGGCAGAGGAAGTGCAGGAGGACCTTGCTATAGCTACAGTGGTCCGTCATAAACACCTTTGCTTCACAAGGTGAGGAAGAGACATTCACGTAGGTATAGGCCTAGTTCTAGGAACTCGGGATTGGCTGCTGACCAATTATCACTCCTGTTATGAGTCTCTCCTCTGTCCTCCACACCTAGTCACTGCACAGTCGACACCCAACAGCTACTTATGGGGTGAGGCGGGCACCAGCTGCCTTCTGCCAATCATTTATGGATAGAAAAATAACACCTCAGAGATGGAGAGAAAAGAAAAGCCTTTAGGAAAAAGTTATTCAGAAAAACCACACATAAGAAATCCAGTGTAGACACTGCCATATCTGTATGAGATGTGCACAGTGAACATGAATGAACGAGCACACAAGAAGCCTTTCAGGATGATATCACTCAGGGGATCGAAGCTGAGTGGAGTCTCAATAAGAGAGACTGCTACAAGGTTATACTGTAGGCCTACTCAACAGAGGGTATATAGGCTATTGCACACTGAAAAGGGGCACTAATGTAATGGAGTGATACATGTTTTTTGAGAGCAGATGGACAGAGAGCTATTGAATCACCCACTCCAGGTAGGTTAGAGCCTTCACAACAAGTC